GTGTGACTGTATCTTATCTGTGGGCAAGTGTATGTGTGTGTGTGTGTCAGCAGGGATATATTGCAGCATCTTTACATCCTGCTACTCGTGCTCGTTAATTCTCCCCTGTGCTGACAAGATGTTCGTCATGACACACACACACACACACACACACGCACAAAATAATATAGAACACATTCACACAAAGATACAGCATACAAGCAAGACATGAAACATGTTTAGAGATGAGATATGTGCACATTCAAACTCAAACAAGAAACATGGTGGAAATACCACCTAGGAAACACACTTACACACACACATACGCAATATAGTACCCACCCACAGATGCTGTGATGGATTAACATTCGCAGGTAGTAAATATCAGGGGCCCCCGTGGACCCTCGTCACTTTACCAGAATTTACCATCTATATCTGGAAAGTGGAGAAGAGGCAGAGGGATGGAGGAAGGGAGAGCACTGATGGCAGAAAGGAAGCAAGAATCTGCAACTTTTTCATAATTGGAATTTTTCAGTTAGTCTTGTAGTCTATGAAATGTCCAAAAATATTTTCAAAAAGTGCCCATGACAACTTTCCAAAACCCATGATGACACCAAACCTTCTGACCAACACCTAAACATATTCAGAAAGAGAGGGGGAAAGGAGACAGAAAGAAAGTTGTACTAGTTAACAAATGAATCCAGTTAAAGTTGAAATTGTTGTCAGTTTTGTAGAGAAATGGACGGTTCACTCTAAAATTAAAAAACACATTTTTCTTCTTATCTGTAGTGCTATTTATCAGGCTAGATTGTTTTGATGTGAGTTGCTAAGTGTTGGAGATATGGGCCGTAGAGATGTCTGCCTTCTCTCCAATATACTGGAACTAGATGTACTCGAAGTGGTGCTCGAAGTGCAAAACAAAAAAAAAAAACATTTCTCAAACTCAACAGCAATGTCATGACCTCGTTACTCGAGATGATCCACAGACCCTTTTTTTTTTTTTTAGCTTACTTTGTGGGCAGATGCGATTGATGTTGAAATCTCGTGCTGTCTCAAGCTTGAGCCTTTCGTCCATGAGTAGATGCACTCTTCCTTCTGCACGGTGATACAGTTGGTGGGTGTAGTTCGGTAGAAAGAAAATAGTTCCTACATAAAACAGCTCACAACAAGTTCTGTGGATTACCTGGAGTAACCAGGTCACGATTGCTAGAAAGAGACATTGCTGTTGAGTTTTTCAAATGTCTCTTTAGGTGCTTTGTGCACCACAAGCTGAGTGCCATCTAGTTCCATTATATTGGAGAGAAAGTAGACATCTCTACGGCCGATATCTCCAACACTCTGCAACTCCACACCACACCACTACAGGTAAGGGGATAAATATGTTATTTTGAGTTTTGGGTGAACTGTCCTTTAAAGCTAATGTCCTGTTCGCCCACTTTCAGCCGGTGTTGCTGAGGGTCAACTTATGACTGCTCTTCCTCTTTTCTAACACAGTTTTCCTGTTTTTAGCACACGTCATGATTTTTGAGAGTTTGTCACAGTGGAGAAATTTAGCATTGTTTGCAACCGTTGCCCCAGAGACTCAGTCAGCAACTTATCTTTCCTTAGTTTCCTCATGTGGTCTCTAAAGCTCATGTATAAAGATAGAACCATAGTGACCTACTTGTAGTTACAAGTGCCATTGTGGTTGTGATTTACAGTAATTGTTGTCTGAATTTGTTGTGTCCAACTATCAGATTATATAATGTGGCCAGGGAAAGTGTCAACCCTATAAAAAGGAAGCTACTGTGCTGAGTTAAGACCTTTGACAGTCTCAACAAAAAAAGTTTTTAATGGGTTTCACTGCTTTGCATTACAGTGGAAAGTATAGTATCAGGCTTCATTTAGACTGAAAGTGACACTCCATTTAAAACACAAAGGTGTTGGATCAGTGTGGGTCAGATAAAGATGAAACAGTTACCACAGTGTACCAGAAAATATCATAGTGCCGTGAAGCGTGAATTTTAAGAACTCGAAATCAGGATTTGAAGTTTTTAAAGAAAGTACATCCACATATTTTATGTAGGAGGACAATGAACATTACAAATTGTTTTTTGTGCTGTTTCTTTAATATATTTATTGTCATTTTAGTGTCGTAGAAGCTTACAACTACTGCCTGCACAAGATATACTTGAGTTTTCCAACCACCCGACTCACTTGTAACACCTTTACACCTTTGCCATTGAGAGTGGATGAAAACTAATTATCAAAAAAGCTAGATAGCAAAAATACTTCACTGAATACAATTTAAATGCAACACTTTTTGCTCCCAGTTTTACAGGTTTCAGTTAAAGATCTAAGACTTTTTCATGCACACGAAAGACGTATTCCTCTCAAATTTTGGTAGCAGATTAGTTAAAATCCGTGTTAGCAAGCTTTTCTTCCTTTCCAAGATAATCCATCCACCTGACAGGTGTGGCATATCAAGATGCTGATTAAACTGCATTATAACCACACAAGTGTGGTTATAATGCTGATTAAACTGCATTATAACCACACAAGTGTGCCTTGGGATGGTCAGAATATAAGCCCAAATTTTTGTTCAGTGTACTAAAAGCTAATAAATAAATACAAAAGTAACAGATACATGGTTTAAATGGCTACAATCTGATACTCTAAATGGTAGTAGTACCAGGGCTGCACATTGCACAATATATTGTTTTTTTATCGACATCATGATGTCAACTTGCATGATAAACACATTGCGAAAGACTGCCTTGTTGCACTTAGACATTTTCGAGCTAATTTAAAGAGTGTATCGGTAGAAAACTGCACTCTAAAATGTTACTATCATTCTTGTATGTTGGTGCATTTTGTTTTCAGTTCAGTGCTCAAGTTTGTTCAGTTAAAGAATTCTGGAAACAATTTCTTTTTTTTAAATATTTTTTTAATTTACTAAGGATTTTTTTGTATTTATTTTATCCTGATATTCCATGACATTAAAGTAATTGCTTGTTATCTTTATATCATTCAGTCTTAAAGTCTTATTTACTGTATATGTATAGTTGTTTATAGTTCTGGCGCTTGACACATAGAAATGACGTATTTTTGACAGAAAAACTGTCATGTTACACTTTTCGTTCACGTCACACACCTGGAGAATTTTGTTACGTCTTGGAGAACATTAGATTTTGTTGCACAGTGTGATTGGTAGTATCACAATTGTGGACACAGAGATAGTAGTTTTCATCCACACCGACTCAGACCTGTATTCAGCAGCCGTCTGTCAGCAGCAGCTCCTGCAGAGCTGCGAGGACAGTGGCCGGCCAAACCGCCTTCACCAGGCTGACTGACAGCAGACATTTCCTGAACCAAGATACTTTTCACATCAGCACCGCGGGAGGAAATCAACAGTGTTTATACTTATTGATTCAGTGATTTTATATGCCCACCCACCATAGGAAGTGAGCAGAATCTGCCACTCAAATCAATCAGTAATATACAGTTAATAAGTTAAAACACACACGTACAGTGGATCGGATATTTCTGTGATTTAAACAATTCTCTGTGCAGATTACTCTTTACTAAACGTGACAGAAATATACTCGGACTGTGGAAAAAAACGCAGAGGGCCCAGGGGCCCAACCATAAATCAGCCTTAAGTAGAAGGAATGCAAGAAAACAACAAAATATGTATTTACACATACCACAGATCCACAACAGCCACTGTGCATGATGAGTATTAGACTCCATTTAACAGGGCTGTGGGGGTATGTTGCTCAGGAAAAGGTCAGGAACCTCAAGAGTTATAAGTAATCCATGAGTCTGAAGGTTTATCAGGCACCACTCATAGCTTCATACCATGATGACGTAGGGTTTTCCCACTGTGGAAAGTCATCACAGCAACAGTCATCGTTTGTTTTTGTCCTGACAGTTGTGGGGAAAACAGTAGAATGAAAGGTTCAAGTCCTTGGCCACATGACCTGGTGTTTTTTTTTTTTTTTAGGGAGTCATCTACGTCATGTTACCTCGTTAAAAATGAATCAGTGGGCTGCGTTTTTTTTTGTGTGTGTGTGTGTGTTTGAGTCTGAACGCAACCGAAAGCCTCACAGACTGGCTTGGTCAGTCAACATGAGCGCGCTTTGTACAGTTCGGTGTTGTTATTAAAACCTGTGCTTGTACTCTGTGTAATGTAGCTTTAACTTGAACACCAGTGGAGTCCTCCAAGGTACAAATACACAAAGTGAGACGGAGGACAAACACATGGAAGCACTGAGAGCAGTGGAGTTTTTCCTTGATAAAGCTGCTGTTGTTGTTGTCACTGCAGGCAGAACATGACAGGACTCCACTGACAGCTCCACAATGGCCAACAAACAGGACATCCTCCCATACTGCGTCAGGGCAATTACTCATCCACTGAGCGCGTGTGTGTGAGTGAGTGTGAGTGAGTGTGAGTAAGTGTGTGTGAGTGTGTGTGTTTGTGCAACATGTTTATTTTTCTCAATCAGGCAATTTACCATAACAATAGACAAACAAAGCAGCATTGTTTGCAGTGTAACGTATAAAGTAAACCAGCGACTAGACTTTATAATGCAGCTATTGTGTCAAACCACTGTGAGTGTGTGTGTGTGTGTGTGTGTGTGTGTGGGACATGGAAACCAATCTGTGTCCTCATGCAAATGAACTTGCAGTGTTGCTTAACGTTGTAATTTCCATATCGATTCCCTTTTTGCATGCTTGTGTTTCCTCGGGAGTGACCAGGCTTACCTCGGCCAGATGTTATTGTGCATTTTCACTGGGACAAGTGTGTGTGTGCGCGCGCGTGTGTGTGTGTGTAAATGTGTGTATTTCTGCTTCCATCTTGGTGTCTAATATGTGTGTTTAGCCTTTTTTTTTGTATCCCACTTTATGTAATGAATTTGACCCTTTTCCCTTCCTCTCCTCCCTGTTGTGTCTGTGTGTGTGTATTATATGTGTTTCTATATGTGTGTGTTCACCCCCTCCTCACCCCTCTCATTTCGCTCTCTTTCTCTTGTTTACAGGGAATTTAAAGAATGTGGTTTAGGAGTCGGCAGCCTCCTTCTCCTCCTCCTCCACACACACACACACACACACACCATGTTTCCAAACCAGGTCGATGCTCGGCGGCTTTTAATGAAGACAATATGGAGCAGACCCCTTCAGCCCTGAGGCATGGAGCGAACGAGGGAGCGATGAAGGCAGGAAAAAGGAGAGCGAGAGAGAAGGTTTTGGAAAACATTAGCTGAGTGTTTCCAGGGGAAAACAGTTTAATAAGAGGAGGGGGGGTGATGTGGTTGCTGTACAGTGTCCACTGTTTATAATCCTTTTGTTTTTTGGAAAAGGTATTTGTGTTTGTGTGAATGAGAGTTTGTGGTGAGTTCAGTGTGGGTATGTAAAACAGAATTATTACAAGGGGGGGGGGGTTACAGTCAGTGCACACAGAGTTTTTTGGTATCAAGGGATGCGTTTGTGTACGTCCTATCAGTTGGATATTTCAAACTAAACGGAAAAACAGATATATTCAGGTGTCCAGTTTCACGCTCACCGCGGTGCTGCTGTTATTTTACCCCCCTGAGCACGGATAAGCACTAAAACAGACAAAAGGCAAAACAGCGAGGTTCCCCAAACACCTTGTTATACTTGTAAAAACCCCGGGTTTCTCAGCAGGTCCGGAAAGTCCTGAAAAGAATTGAGAAACTTGGAAACTTTACAAATAAACAGTCTGGAAAAGTTTGGAAAACAGACAGAAGTTGATTTGCTCAGCCACATTGTTTTGACCTCTGGGCAAAAGCTGTAAATTAAACATCTGGACAGAGTTTGTTATTGTCTGTCCGTGGAAAAAAAGAACTTTTTAACTTTCCCTGCATATTTTCCGTTTAAAATTCCAAAGATTTCATGAGCTTTAAGAAGCTTTTAGAAGCAGTCCTGGTCTGGCGTGACTGGAGAAGAACGTGTAAATTAACAAACATGGCTGTTGTTGGAAAATTGACAGAAGCAGGTTTTCTCACAAGGACTCTTAAGTGTTTGGAAACGTCATGTTTTACTCTGTATGGTGTTAAACAGCCACTTGCACGACTCTTAAGTGTTTGGAAACGTCATGTTTTACTCTGTATGGTGTTAAACAGCCACTTGCACGACATTTTGTCAGTCTCACATAGCCAGACCTATCTCTGTGGTGCTGTATTAGCACTAGATAAAGGTCTGGAATCACCAATTATCTTTCTGCGATAGGGTAAAAAAATGCTCTGGCTTGTTTGTATTTTTTTAAACCACGCAGAATAGTGTTGGGCAATGCTAAGCCCAGGACAGCGATGGTGCCCTTGCAAAATAGTGTCAGGGGTGAACTGAACATTTGCACGTTGGGATGCGAGCACTGTCAGCAAAAGAAAACACCACAAAAACATGTATGTCACTGATATGATTCAACTTTCATGTTGAAGAGACGAACATAATTTGATAATCGATGCCCTCGAGGTGAAGCATGACTACACTTTAGCTCTGGAGGAACTCGCTGGACCTGTTAAAACCACAGACGAATTGCTGGCTATACGTGACTCTAGTAGAATGTTATTATGACGATATCGCAGAAGTTTGTGAAATGGATCGGTATATTAGTGAAGTTGCTCTCACTCGCATAGGCTGCTGCCAGAGTTAAAAGATGTGGCAAATTGACTCCAACTGGTCGTGTAAGAAAACGTAACAACACCGTACATGAGAGTCCTGCGAGACTGGGCTTTTCCAAGGTGTGCTCACAATGTGTTTTATTCTTCCTAGATCTTCGCAACAGTTTACCGATGCAACACAGCAGACATGCCTTATTGCACGATCCAAATCTAGTTTCAAGTTGTTCGCTCAAAGGTTGTAGTTTCCCATTGCGAAGGGGGTTTGGAAACAGTAACACGCAGGTAGGGCAAGGAATGGCAGTCTACATCTGATGAGTCAGACTACTACGCAGTTTATCACTAAAAAATTGACTGGAATCTTACGAATCGGCAGGAAAAGCGGGTCTCCAAAAGAAGGAGTCTGCAGTATACACGGTTACTCTTAAAAAATAAGCTACTTGATCTCCACTTCAGTTGCTTTTACATTGTCCTCAAGAAGTCTGCACCCACCATGTAAATGTATAGTTTGTTGATTTTCTGTGTTGCATTTTTTTCTGTATGGTTGTCAAAAAATTCTAAAAACATAACTGCAAAGTGCATCTGATTATTCCCACATCTGTAGAAGTTTGGAAAACAGAAACATCTTGTTTAATCCCCCCAGCTGTAGTGTTTCAGATGTGGCACATTAGTCACATCACACAGCTGCACATCAGACCAAACAGTGAATCTGAATCCTCTTAATAAAGCCGAGGTGCACGTGGGAGTTTGACACAAGTGGAGGCTCGATGTTCGCAGCATCACTGAACTGTTCTTAGAATTTGGGATTGAATTTATAATCCGAAATATTGCATTGATCAGTCCCAGTGTTTAGCGCCAAATTACTTTTTAAAAGTTTATTTTTGACCATAGAAATAGTGGTTTTACAAAAATATATCTATCCACTGTGAGATGGTCAAAAGCTCTAGAAAAGACTAGAAAGGAGACCTTGAGTTTTTTGTCAAACTACTATAATTGTGGTAACTAAAAACATTTCCAGGCATTATAAAACCATTATTAGTTGTTGCTGAAGACTCAAGATTTCTTTTATGTCATTTCTTTTTATTTTATCTTGCAAATGCTCAAAAATAAGGTTAAAAAGCTGCTGACTGAAAGAAAAACACATTTTAAATCTTCAAATCCACTGCAGGTGAACATGAAATCTTATGTAGGAGTATTTTAGGATAAAGTTTATCTATCAGATTGTTTGGGACTTGAGAAGAAAGTAAGTTTTTTTTTTTTTTTTATGTTCATGCATTTGTTTCACAGAATGACTTTTTAAGAAATCTGTCGGCATGTTTTGATGTACATACCACGAGCAGTTGTCGAAATAAAAGACAGGAGAGCATGTTGTTGTCATGTGTCTGCGCTGCGTGTTTAAGCAGTGATTTATGCAGTGCGGGCTGCTTAATAGAGGCTTTAATGGAGAGCGTTTGAAAGAGGAACCACAAATGTCGAGCAGTTTCCTTTAGAAGTGATGTTCCCCAAATTAATGGCCTGGAAATTCACACCAAATGTAGGAGTCACCAGTCGGAGCTGGCATGTGCTGAACAGAAGTGAATGTGTTGAGTGTGTGTGTGTGTGTGTGTGTGAGTGAGAGAGAGAGGATTCCCTGTGATCTTTATGAACACTGCTGCGGTCACTTCGGCGGTTTGAGCCCAACGTAGCCGAAGCAAATGAAACTCATTACACCGTTTACGAGTTTGGAAAAGGAGAGACGATTGAAATTCTATCTCATAAACTGGGAGGAGGAGGAGGGCAAGGGGGGCTTTACACAGTGATCGGGCAGAGGGGCTGTAAACATGAGAGACGTGAGAGACTTTGTGTGTCTTTATGTAGTTTTCTTTGCTCCACAGAGTCAAATTAGAAAAACTCGGGGGGCCTCGAGAGGATTCAGGGCACCGCTGGAATCCCTGGATTGCCTTTTCACAAAAAAACAAAAAAAGATAGTGTTCCATCATGACCATTACGATCTTATTTTAGGGAGGAAACGCTGTCTTCCCGTTGTTTATGGTTTGACATGTGGCCAAGCAAAACTGAGTGCGTAATACCAAATAATACCAAAAGCTCTTGGGCTCATGTCTCTAATGTCTTGTTGTCATATTCTAATACCAAAACTTTCCCATGTCATCAGTCTCGCTCAACACTTAAAGCTAATTCATGAGCCACATTATCATGTTTCAGCCCAGCACCGCGAGAATTTCCATCCATATTGGACGATTCTGCACCTCCTACGTATTGACTGTCAGAGCAGAGGTAGTGTGTAGCTGCTATACAGTGAGATGGAACTGAAAGGACATGGAAGTGTTTTAGCAGCCTGACCTTAACCACAGTCCATTTGCTATAACCACAGTCTTTCCCTACTTTTAATTGCGAGTGCAGTGCATGTTCAAGACATGCCTGTTTGGAGCCGGCCAATTGCTCGGCCCTTCGGTATCGCTTTCAAGAGAAGTGCTCATCCAAACAACTTCACACTCAGCACTGTGCTTCCTTGGGTTCCGAGCATTGTACCTGCATGACATAGTTGCCATCCCCTAGCAAATGCTAGAGTCTACGCCAGTCACACAAGATGTTGACGCTACATGCGAGTGGCAACCTCTGGGGAAAATGAAGCCAACGCAGAAGTGCCAAAAAGTTTCTTTAATGGCTACTTGAGGCTGGCTCCAGAAGCCAAGTCAATCTCAATAGTATCGCATGTCTCAAAGCCCAACTTTGCAGCAGAAATAAACATGTTTATAGTCTGGTACAAAAACTGTTTTGGTCTCTATACCTATTTCCCCCTTAATTGCAACTGTACGGGGGCTGATTTTTTACATACCATAAAACCTCAATTAAAAACCTAGTCCCAATTAAATGGCCAGTCCCTTAGTTAAACATTGTGACGGATAAACGTCTGTCTCAATTAGACGGCAGGTCTAGTTGCCAAACAGGTCATTTTTACAGAAGTTCTTTGGATGTATAAAACTGGATTGTTTACCACCCACTTGACTTGCTAACGTTAGCTCAACGTCCCCAAGTCATCCTAAAATATGCTCCTGGACCAACTGGTGGTACTCCCCATGATCCACCCTCTTCATTAGGGTCTCATGTACCCACACAGATCTCTGTTTCCCTGTGCCCAACAAACTGTTTACTGACAGCCTCTCACCCTCAACCAGAGCTACAGAAAGTACCCTCTGCCTGAGCATTTTAGGAACTAGATGCTAATTACTGTGAAATAAAACAAACAGTAAACTGATTACATGGGAAGGTTAGGGTAAGGTTAGGGGAGGTGCGAGGTTCCTGTGTGCTTGGGGCCTAAGCATACTGAAGGCTTTAGCATGTTTGTACTAAACCATGTGAGCAAAACTGAACAAATCAGTTTTTAATAAGTTTACAGTAAACAACAGTAAAAAGATCATCTTATGTATTTGATTCTAGTTCTTTGATAATGTATCATAAAAAACCTCTGTGGTCCGATCTAATTGGTCAGAATTAACCATAAAGCAAAGTTCATCATCGGATGGCTGTTTTGGGAACAACTGGTCCCTGTCAGGATACAGTACATGTTACATAACCTCTGTCCACTCTCAGCTGTTTTTTTCATGGAATCTAAATTACCTAGAGACAAGATTATGGAGACTTTCTGTCATTTTAAAATCCCACATAAACCAGTCGTGTGATGCAACATATTCTGTAAAGGAAAAACTATCTTCCACATTACAGTGAAGACGGAGCTTCCCTGCCAGCATTGAGCTGTAATTTGTTTTTGGCTCAAATTGTCTTCCTCTGGACGCATGCAGATTAATTTTTTTTTCCGATATGAAAATGGAAGGCCGTGTTGGAATCTATGGGGTAAGTTTTTGGATTTGGTTCGGTTCAGTCAGGAGGTGGTGAGCTGTTAAGACTTGTACGGTTGTGTCCAGGGCTAATTTTGTTTTCCTGGGATGCTCCGTCAGTTTCATGAACCTCAATGTAATAACTCAAAAACTTCTTTTTCCTGTCAGTTCATTGAACAAAACGGATTGATCCTAAAGTAGAAACATCATGAGTGCAGCCAAACAACTGGATTCGTTTATATCTACAAGTTCTTATCCACTAGATTTCCCCTTGTACTGGTTTGTATGTGCTGCACCTTTACTGCTCCATGACACAAAAAACTTTTCCAACGACTTTTATGCAAATCAGCGCAGGGCCCCTTCACCGCTCAGCCTGTGCTTTGAATAGAGTGTCATCTGACCCTCTGTTGATTAGTTTAGATAAACCAAAAGCCTTGTTCTTCCTCTTCCTCTGTTTCTCTTTGGTTCCTGTTGGGTAAAGAATTTGCCAGTTGCACTAAACATTTGCATAGGCTGTTTAAATTTGGGGTATTTTCCAAAACATATCTGCTTTAGGAGAAAAAAAGAACCTCAAATATTTGGGGAAGTCCTTCAGTCTTTAAAGGTTTCATCACTTTTTCATCCAACCTCAGTGAAAAAGTCCAGCTTGTGTCCTGGCAGTCTGACCAACATGCTATAATTATTTGTCCTGCTAAGATGGAAATCACAAACGGTTTGTTTGATTTGCATAACGTCTCCCCCCGGGGGAACAAAGCGGCGGGGGCCTCTGTCTATACGTCCTCCTCCTCCTCATCAACATGTGAAGTGTCTGCGGTCAATGGTGGAGGGGATTTACTCGCACAATAAAGACAGATGCCACCTTTTATCTGCTTAACGGAAGAGAGGCCGAGCGCGTGGCACTTGACCACGCCAGCGCATGTTGTTGGCGCGTAATGACGTCCTCCTTTCCACAGACTATTGACATGAATGGTGAATGGGCTTGTTCTTTTTTTAGCAGGACGTGGGGGTGGGGGGATAGAGGAGGGTTTTTTTTGGGGAGGATGAATTGATGGAGGTTCCCCAACAACACTATGGGTGATTTTTCTTTTTGCCCCAAACAGCCTTTTGTTTGTCCCTTATGAATAAAATAGACCCAGAGGAGAGGAGAATCTGGTTTTCAGCAGATCTGGTGTTGAGTTTGAGCTACTTTAGTGACAAACTTTTAAACATTTAAACAGTTTGACGGGCCTATCCTGTGACCACAGACAGTCAGTGATCACCTCTGGGACCTGCTGTTTAAAGAGAGTGGATTTAAAATGCTGCTTTTGCCTCTAATGATGCTGGAACAGGGTGGAGTGGTGTTAAAGGTGGATAAAAATAACATTAATTTGATTGATTGCCAAGAGGAAATTGATTTGTTGCAACACGACAGAACACAGATGTGAGTTTAAAATCAATATGTCAGCAAACAAAAGCATATAAATAAAAAAGTTTGTGATTTTATTGAGTTTTTGGTTTGTGTCTTATCTGTCATATAAATAAATACCTTTAATACTGTATGTTTTGTGTATACTGTCACTGGCCACTTTATTAGGTACACCTTGCTAGTACCAGGTTGGACCCCTTTTGCCTTCAGAACTGCCTTAATTCTTGGTGTCATAGATTCAACAAGGTGCTGGAAACATTCCTCAGAGATTTTGGTCCATATTGACATGATAGCATCACACAGTTGCTGCAGATTTGTCAGTTGCACATCCACAATGTGAATGTGAGTACAGTGAACTCATTGTCATGTTCAAGAAACCAGTTTGAGATGATTTGAGCTTTGTGACATGGTGCGTTATCCTGCTGGAAGTAGCCATCAGAAGATGGGTACACTATGGTCATAAAGGGATGGACACGGTCAGCAACAATACTCAGGTAGGCTGTGGTGTTTAAACCATGCTCAGTTGGTACTAAGGGGCCCAAAGTGTGCAAGAAAATATCCCCCACACCATTACACCACCACCACCAGCCTGAACCATTGATACAAGGCAGGATGGATCCATGCTTTCATGTTGTTTACACCAAATTCTGACCCTACCATCTGAATGTGGCAGCAGAAATCCAGACTCATCAGACCAGGCAACGTTTTTCCAATCTTCTATTGTCCAGTTTTGGTGAGCCTGTGTGAACTGTAGCCTCAGTTTCCTGTTGTTAGCTGACAGGAGTGGCACCTGGTGTGGTCTTCTGCTGCTGTAGCCCATCTGCTTCAAGGTTCAACATGTTGTTGGTTCAGAGATGGTCTTCTGCAGACCTTGGTTGTAACCAGTGGTTATTTGAGTTACTGTTGCCTTTCTGTCATCTTGAACCAGTCTGCCCATTCTCCTCTGACCTCACTCACTGGATATTTTCTCTTTTTGGGACCATCCTCTGTAAACCCTAGAGATGGTTGGGTGTGGAAATCCCAGTAGATCAGCAGTTTCTGAAATACTCAGACTAGCCCGTCTGGCACCAACAACCATGCCACGTTCAAAGTCATTGGCTGATTAGCTATTTGCGTTAACAAGCAGTTGAACGGGTGTACATGTATAAGTCAGCAATATATAGCGGAAGTCAGTGATATTGATGTTCATCTGGGTTTTTACTTGGGTGTCACTCTGTATGTAAACTGTGGTAAACAACTATTTATGAGATACAAAACCACCCAACATTATTTCTCATGTTCTAACCAGGACCCAACCTGACATAATAAATCATTCATTACATATTCATCAGTGTCTCTAATCACACAAGGACAACTCCACAACAGGAACATGTAGTTATGCAAATCATTCACAGACCAGCAGCCCCTCTCTGTCTCTCTCAGGGTGAGTGACACAGACAAAGACGGAGTGGTCTGAAATGGTCCATTTGATTCCTGCTTCATAGTGAGCAGCAACATCTGCCCTGCAGAGCAGCAGCAGCCAAACTCTGGAGGCTGGATTCACGGAGCGGGATAAACTGTTTTAACACATGTCACAGAAGGAAAAAGCTCAGGTTTAAATAATAAAGTTATTGATGGCTGGCTTCCATTTAGCTGCTTCAGTGTCAGGGTGCCTGTACTGAGCATGCTGGCTCTCTGTCACGCTGTCATGGCTTACTGGGACTCAAATAGAGTGGAGACATCTTGGATGTTAACTTATTAGTAACACCTGTGCTTTTCCTGCTATGGCAAAGCTTTGGAAAAGCATTGTTCAAATAAGCAACACACAACTTTCTCCAACAAGTTGCTCGACCTTGAACAACACCATATATAAGTCCACACACCAGCTCAGTCTTGACCAATTATGACATGTCCAAATTCCCTTCAGGACTGAAAAATGAAGCCAACACGGAAGTGCCAAAAACTGAGGCTGGCTCCAGAATGAGTCAGTCCCCACAGATGTTAAAATACCTCGCTTATAGCAGAAATAAACATGTTTACAGCCTGGTACAAAAAACAATTTCGTGACGACTCTGTGGGGGATGAATTCTTGTTTAACTCACCCGTTTACATTTTATTGAGGCTTAAAGTTAAACACCACAACATTCACAAATGTGGGGTTTTCCATGTTGTGTTTTGTGAATGTTATTGTGTTTTGAAATGTTTTAGTGTTTTGTAAAATGTTGTGTTTTGCAAAATGTGGTTGTTACGTAAAGTGTTGTGTTTTGTAAGTGTTGTTGTTTTCTGAAATGCTGTGGTGTTTTTTGAAATGTTGTTGTCTTATGAAATGTTGTGTTTTGTGAAATGTTGTGTCTTATGAAATGTTGTTGTGCTTTATAAAATGTTGTTGTGTTTTGTGAAATGTTGTACTTTTTAAAAAATGTTCTTGTATTTTGTAAAATGTTGCTGTGTTTTATAAAATGTTGTGTTTTTGAGATGTGTTATGTTTTGTAAAATGTTGTTTTTTAAATGTTGTGTTTCATAATGTGCTGTTGTGTTTTGTGAAATGTTGTTGTCTTATGAAATGTGTTTTAAAAAATGTTGTGTTTTGTGAAATGTTGTTTCTTTTTTTTTCTTTTTTTTTAAAAAAAGTTGTTGTGTTTGGTAAAATGTTGTTTTCCGAAATGCTGTTGTGTTTTGTGAAATGTTGTATTTTTTTTTAAGTTTTGTTTTGTAAAATGTTGTTTTCTGAAATGCTGTGTTTTGTGAAATGTTGCTGTGTTTTATAAAATGTTGTGTTTTTGAGATGTGTTATGTTTTGTAAAATGTTGTTTTTTAAATATTGTGTTTTGTAAGGTGCTGTTGTGTTTTGTGAAATGTTGTCTTATGAAATGTTGTGTTTTAAAAAATGTGTTTTAAAAAATGTTGTGTTTTGTGAAATGTTTCTTTTTTCTTTTTTTTTCTTTTTTTTTAAAAAATTGTTGTGTTTGGTAAAATGTTGTTTTCCGAAATGTTGTTGTGTTTTGTGAAATGTTGTGTTTTGAAATGTTGTGTTTTAAAAAATGTTGTTGTGTTTTGTGAAATGTTGTTTCTTTTTTCTTTTTCTTTTTTTTTAAAGGTTGTTGTGTTTGGTAAAATGTTGTTTTCCGAAATGCTGTTGTGTTTTGTGAAATGTTGTATTTTTTTTAAGTTTTGTTTTGTAAAATGTTGTTTTCTGAAATGCTGTGTTTTGTGAAAGGTGCTGTTGTGTTTTGTGAAATGTTGTTATTTTTAAATGTTGTGTTTTTTCAATGTTGTTTGTGTTAAGTGTTTTGTGTTTTGACCTCCAGGGCCACTGTACTTTTCAGGGTTTTTTTTTTATAAAAGTAACTAAAAGCAGCTAAGATCATTGAATAGAGTTGTGAGTCATTATACTGTATATAAAATGCTTATAAATTCTACTTTATTCATAAGTTCATTCACTGTCATCAGTTTCTCTATTTAACCCCTTCCACTGGTGTTCAGTCTCAGCCAATAAGATTCATCCATCCGAATCCTTTGGAAATCCAGTTCCTTGTTTTGGGATGGCAGCATGCCCGGACACACACACATATACACACACACACACACACACACACACACACGCACACACATATACATACACATGCCGGGCTGGTCAGTGAGAAGAGAGCGAGACACTAAATGCTCTTTATTCAGTCTCGAGCGCATCTCGGAGCTGACAGACCTGCAGAGTGTGTGCGGACAGTCAGTCACTGAGCGCTGAGAGCTCCAGCTTAACTTCACTCCACTGGCTGTTTCCTGCGCTGCAGACACTGTGGACTCTCCGGACTCTATAACCTGCTACTTTTATTTGACTTTTCTGAGCTGCACCGGGCTTTTCACACAGGTTGGTTCATTTCTGTCATTTCATCTGCTCTGGTTTCTGGAGTGAGTTTGTGCTGTAAATCTGTCCGGTCAAAGTTTTTTCCTCTCACAAGTGTTTACATAACATTTTAAATGAGGTCAAGCGCTTTTCTGCCTGGAGCTGAGGGTTCCGCTGCAGAAGCTGGTGTGAAACTTAGATTTTCTCTTTGGTTTGAGCTTGTAAACTCAGATTAACTCGGGTTTCATGCCTCTTTATACCCACTTGATATTATCTGTACAGTGGAAATGAATGGCGTTATTGCATAAGCCATAAAACTGATTAAAAAGATTGTTTAAGTTTGCACATTCATGCGGTTTTTGTTTATTTTGTGTGTTTGCACCTTTAAATCAATGGAAATGTGACACAAGCTTATTTATTGGAGTTTGTAAAAGTAATTTTTCCAACTTTTTCAAGATAAAACACACAAAAACTTTTATTTATTTTTTTTCCTTAAATTGTCTGCTCATTAACCGCCTTCAATATGGAGCTGGAGGCAATTAAAGCAAGTGGTGAATGCGTCACGCTGGGACAGCATATGGTGACGTTTCAATTGGCTCGTCACGCTTTAATTGTGTAATTGAAACCTCTGTTGTTGGTGGTGTGTGTGTGTGTGTGTGTGTGTGTGTGTGCTGCTTGTATTGACAAATTGCAAAAACATTCCTTTAATAGTTTCAAATTTTAATATAAAGCTTATGTCCTATAGGCACAGAAAGTATATTGTCAAATAGGCTACAATGACTGCGATGATATTGTCATTTACACTTAAAGTGTGTCTGCAGTGATGACCCAACAATCTAAAAGCAAAGTACATTAGATGTCCAGTTTGACTTACAGGGACTTTTCAGTCCATGTTGGCTGGAAAGCTGAAGTGATAAAGATCCCCGATAGGAACTAGCGCAAGTTTGTAAAAACCCACATTGTCCTTGTATATCTTCTGTAGTAGTGTCTATTATGGGCTGCGGCTGTTGGTTTCAACACTGGTTAAACTGTTGATTGTATATTGATTAAATGTCAGGATATATTGAAGGTAATTTCTCCAAACAGTCCATAAAGGAACTGACACCAGAGGATGTTTGGCATTTTTGCCCCATAGATGACTTCTACAATTCATCAGTGATCTGACTAATTAATCAACTGACTAATTTGATCTTGCTTCACCTAAAATTAACCCTGTGAGGCGTAAATATGAGTTTGAAGTCAGTGGTTCCCAACTTGTCCTGCCATGAGGTCCAGATTTCCCCTTAGTCATTAGCTCAAGGTCCACACACTTTAATATAGTTGGCATCATACTTGCGTTTAGCCATGTCATCCGTTATTTACTAGCTCTACAGCAGGAAACAGCACTTCAAAATGAAAGCTTCTGCCATAAATTCACTTTACTTCAAAATAAAGTGGGTTATTTACAAACTTGACACGTTTGCGAGTCACTTGTGGTCCATTCAGAATGGACCCTTGACCCACCCGTTGGGAACCAGTGTTTTAAATGATCCTATTGCACTTAATAGCACTTTTTAACAGCTCTATTAAACTTTTCATTCACTGTAGTGTTCCTATAATATGTAGTGATTGACTGATTACTCAGCTATACTGATAATCAATCACTGCTGTCATTTTACAGGCCAATAATGCCTGTAAATACTTGTATTATAATAAGAACATTTGCTGCTTTTCTCCATTTTATATCACCATGCAGTTCTTACTCTTGTCTTTGGATTATCTGATAATAATCATCAGCTGCAGCCCTAACATATTAAAAAGTTACACACTTGGCGACTAGGTATGGCTACTAATCTGGCAGGGGAGACTTTCACTGCTTAATTAAAATAAATGCAGACCGGTCCTCGGCCAAGACGGCAGCCTAGACTGCTAATGAAATCGTTTACAGGGAAACTGAGCCAGGGCCGATTTCACAAACTCATAAAAAGTGGTGGAAGAACACAATGAGTCAGGTCAGCTGTGAACAGGAAAAAACATTGGCACTCCTCCAGCGGTTTCACACAGCATCCTTCCTCCACTCTGCTGAGCCTGCGAGGACGTTTTTTGACTCCAGTCCATCTTCATTTCAGACCAAAACAGTATTCTGGGTGTTTGTTATTATGAGACACAAGCCAAAAAGCTGTTATGTGTATATGAGTAAAAAACATCTCACTTTTTTGATTCCCCTAGGCATTTTCATGTCTCTCCAGTGCCTATAAATGTCAAAATGACTCAATGAAAACTTGGACATGAACAACTAGATTTTATTGGGGACAAACACAGAATAAAAACAAAGGGACTCGTTTGTATAGAAAAGCTGACGTGAGCATTTAGATTTTCCTAGAAAGATGAACACCAAGTCATTCAGAGAGGTTTCTAAGTTCAGGATATGTGGTTTTGTAATCATGACATTTACTCTAAAAGACTTAAAATCCCTCCGACCACAAAGTATAAACACACGATGATACCTTTTCAAACTGCTGTTGGAGAGCCAATAGAAGTAGCAGCTCACATACCAACATGACTGAATCATTTGAGAAATATGAACATGTTTTTCCACAAAAACCCTTCATACCATGCACTAAAGAAGCCAAAGTCTTCAAGTAATAAATGTTGCCTAAATACAAGCAGCTATTCAAGAAGGTTTACTGACCACAACTGTCTTAAATTGGCCAAATTTTGATTTAAATCAGAACCATTACTAAAAAAAAGGCACTTGGAGTCAATACCAAGCCATAATTGCTTCTTAGGAAAAGCTAATCATGCAGCAAAAGTGGTTTGAGATGTTTATGTGGATGTTTTAGTTGGTTTTAACACAACTTTATTTTGTGATTATGGGTCACCATTGTAATCCATTGTAACTGTTGTGAATCTAAGCTGCTATCTTCCACAATCTAATACAGCTTGGGGTTTTGCGGCCACAGCTTTTCTTGGTCTGGTTTGACCATTAGCTTTTTGCGGCTAACGTTAGCAACCTTTAGGTGAATAATTCTGAGTCATTTCATTTCCTACTTCTGTGATTCTGCCCCACTTGTAACCGTACATTTTAGCATTTAGTGTCCACATCCAACTCCACACTTTCTTACAGGCAAATTGGATCCATCTCAAAGTCAGGGTGGAAAAATCCTCTCCATCAAGGCATTATATTGTAAAATAGGCGGATTTTTCACACCCATTTGTTACTTAATAGACCTTTTAAAATGTTTTAAAATGAGCAATCTGTACAGCTGGGTTGTTCTCATTCACGTGTTGAGTAGACTGGTGCAGGAATGAGTCCTTAAACCTGAAAATGAGTTAGCATGTTAGCACTCCTGGTTCCCTTGTCTCGAAGTCAATGGGTTTTTGAACAGGTTTTTGGTTAGATGCCTGAAATAAGGTCTGTAGTGACACAAGCTTAAGACATGTTCACGTTTTGTTCATAAAATACGTCAGTAAATACCCCACTTGTGAATTTTGAAGCTTTTTCGTGTCTTAAAAAAAGGCGGTTGCTAGCAAGTAGCTAAATGAAACTACAGAGCATCATCATGCCAAACACGGCTTCACAGCCTACTTATGGTGGTGATCTTGGAAGTCGTGTGGCCATGGCTTTTTACTTTTGGCAGCTGCATTTATGCTTCAAAGATCATAAAAGTAGTGCTCATCTGTGAAGATTATCTTGCTGAACAAGCCACTTTTTTTTTTTGCGATAACCTGAAATCCAACGGAAAAATCTTTTTTGTCGAGGGAACCAAGGTGAAGTTAACGTCAGCGTTGGCCTACGTCATCCCTGCAGCACTCTGTTGTGGCCATTTTTCTGTAGCTACTTGTCACAGATGTCGACAGAATCTGTATCTTGTGATATAGGCAGATTTTCACCCATAAAATGTGTGTGTTTATATTTAATTTTTAGGACTCAAAATCCTTAAAATCTGCAGTTGTGTTCTCACCAGTGCCCCGAGGAAAGAATGTGTGCAGTTTTTATTTGTTTGTGTCTCCTGGACTCAATGTGCTGGAAAGCTGTTGAGCAGAGGCACCATGTGCAGGCTGGCCCTGACAGTAATCAGTCAATGAATAATGAACACACACACACACACACACACACACATACACACACACAGACCTGCCATTGACAGCTGTTTGGTATCTTTGTGTGTGTATTAACTCTATCAGTGGAGTGCAGCTGCATGGCTGCCTGTAGCAATTATGTTCTCGCTAAATAAGAGCCAGTGCTGGGAGGAGGGGCTGTGTGCATGTGTGTGTGTGTGTGTGTGTGTGTGTGTGTGTGTTAGTGAGACAGAGAGAGAGAGAGAGAGAGAGAGAGCACGTATTATTAAGCGATTAACTTACTCAAAGGATAGCCGCATGATGTGTGTGTGTGTGTGTGTGTGTGTTACGGCACACATGCTGTTTGAACTGTATGTAATATAAACCAGCTCAGGGACTTTAACATGAGCCTCTAGGAGCCTTTTTGCAAGAGGGTTTGAGTCACACACACACTTTTTTTTTTTTTTTACCTCCACACACATCTCATTGACACTTTCTCAGTGTGTCAGGCTTTGCGCAACACACACTTTCCTCCATTCACACACAGTCGGACATATGCTCTGTTCTCAGGGCCCATGTGTATTTATCCTGTCATGTGACCCAGTCGCGCTTTGAGATCCTCAAAGGCTCTGTTGTGTCGTGAGCTCCATTCACACACACGCACACATACACACATATTAAGACCTATAAACACTCACTAACCTCGTCAGTACCCACAGACCGTCTCCCCGCAGCTTTTTCATGGTTAATTTGCTGCTCAATAGGTCAAGAGGAAAAGCAGACATCAAGTGAATACACACACAAAATCAGTCTGAGACACAGCAAGTCATGCAGCCGTCCAGTCACAAGGGTCGGCTCATAGCGTATTTCCCAGACAGTTGGGGCTGCGCTGATTTAAAGAGTCATAAGAACATGAGTAAAGCCACTCTTAAAGACATACTTCACTCTCAAAATAATCACTTGTATATCAGTTCCTCACCCCATGTTACATTAAGTTTGTGAAGAAAACTTTGATTATCTTGCATGCCTTCATGGTAAATGATGAATCCAAAAACGGCAAACAGTCTTAATGAATTGAAGTCATAGGGGTCCACTTTAACACCAGCAAAACTATATTAAAACATCCATTCAAAACACTTCCACTTTAACAGCCTAGTGCAGGCACGTTTAGAGTCTGGTCTGGGCCAATTGTGGCCTGTGGACCAATTTTAAAGTTATACTTTATTAATCCCCGAGGGGAAATTCAAATTTTTTCACTCTGTGGTCATACACACACAGGCCCAAAATAAACACATATGTACAAACAGGACCTATACATGCATTAAATGAAGAGATGTCAGAGTGAGGGGGCTGCCTTGGACAAGCACCCCAAGCAGTTGGGGGTTCAGTGCCTTGCCCAGGAGGTGAACTGGCACCTCTTCAGCTACAGTTTACACTCCATACTTGGTCCAGGGACTTGAACTAGTGACCCTCTGGTTCCCAAGCCAAGTCCCTGTGGGTAGTGCTACTGCGGCCTGTGGCTTGTTCAAAATACTTGTATGAGATTCTTTTTTTAATAACTCATATGATGCGAGTAGCAGCTGGCCCCTGGGCATTTTCACATTTTCTAATATGGCCCCCATTCAAAAACTTTTGGACACCCCTGGTCAGGCATTTGGATGAGTTGCACACTTGGGCAACTCTATGAATACATGAGCACAGTTCAAATGCATGCACTTGCGCAGGCAGCACACAACACTATTTTGATATAGTTTTGCTGTTGTTAAAGATGTCCCTCTTTACTTCAGTTCATCACAAATGTTTGCCGTTTTTGGATTCTTCATTCACTTCATACAAAGTGTTCCTTATGAATTCAAAGTAACACTGGGGAAGTGATTCATATACAAATACAAATGGTCCTCTTGTGGATGAATTGCCTGTCAGCTGGTGCCTCATATTTAACAGATACATAAGTGGTAGCAATCCTCTCATCTCACTCATTTTTTGCTGTACATAAAGTGCAGTCCTTTCCTTTCAGCTGACATTTATTTTGGTACCATCCTGTTTGTTGTCGTCTGTCAAATGCTTGAAAAATGTTTTGATTAATCAAATCTTGACAATACAATGTAACCCAGCAACCAGCTGCATATCAGCAGGAAAGTCCCTGCTGCCAAACAACAGAGATATTAAGCAAATACAACAGTCCACTGACTCTGCTACCATAGTGCGAAGACCACATGCTCCTTATGCATCTCCTGCATCAGTGATGTTGCCATAACGACTGGTTGCAGAATAGAAACGTGCACATGTGCAAACAGGTGCAAGAAAAGAAAGAGCAGGTTCATGAATTGATTCACACCTGTGTGTGGTGTTTCTAGCTGGAGCTGGAGCTGCTCTCAAAACCGGCAGCACTTAAAACTGATAAAGAGCAACTCCAGTTTGAAATGTCTCATAGAAATGCTAATGAATTCAGACACATGGTGAACAGGTTCAGTTTTGTTCAGCAGGATGTCAGCTACCTAAAAAATGTTCAAAAGTGTGTTCATAAGACAGATAAGATAGTGAAGTCAGAGCAAAAGCAGCCCAAATTCGCTAACCTTTCATCTGGGCCTTGCTAACGTATGTTTACAGCCTTTTTAAGAAGATAACTATTCTGTTTCATGTGGTCAGTGTCCAAAAGAACATTTTGAAAAATGTGGGTATTCACTTTCTTGCTGAGTGTTAGTTGAGAAGTTCAATCCCACTCTCATGTTTGGTCATTACAAATAAAGCTATAGCCGGCTCAGCTAAGCACAAAAACAGAAAGCAGAGGGAAACAGCTACCCTGGCGTTTTTTGTACTGATTAAACAAAAGAGATAAAATGTAAATTAATTAGTGAGCTTTAGGAGTGCTAGTTAGTTGATTTATTTATTTATTTTCTACTTTGGACAGAGCCAGGCTAGCTGTTTACCCCTGCATTCAGTCTTTCTGCGAAGCTAAGCTAAGCTAACTAGCTTAGCTTAGCCTATCTAGCTTCATATTTAGCCCGTAGACATAAGAGTAGTGTTGATCTTCTCATCTAAATTTGGGCTAAAAAGCAAGTACACTTCCAAAAATGATGAATAAGTTCACCATCCAAACACTGATTATAGCCTACATTTAAGTTTTCAGTGGGCTACTGGTGCATGCTATCGTTTCCAGTTGCCCAATTCCTAGTTTTCAGCATGCTTCTAGTTTAAACTGTGATGTGTGAAGATATTCTTTGTACGTATGATAGACTCAGATACATATGAGGGCAGACCATGCTATAATAAAGAACAGTATAGGTGAGGATTTAGCGTCAATTTACCTCCGATGCTAGCGAGCTATCTCTGAAGGCCTTCACACACCAGGATTTTTTTGTGAGATAATTTGGCATGTCAATATATTTTTTTAACTGTTTTGTCATTAGTACGCTCACACAGAATAAGTGGCAAAAAAGCGACATTATTTTTTTTTTCAGAATTAAGTAGATTTTTTCTGAATCCTGAATAAGGCATCAACCGATCAAGTTGTGCAAAACAGAAGCCATATTACGTCACATCAACGGCAGACCTGTTCAACTTTTGCTAATTTGAATAGTTTATTCGTCACTGTCCCATTGTGTAAAGGCCTTTACAGTGAAGTGTTATTTAGCCAACAAGTATATTGCATCCTCCTCATGTTCCAGTTTGATGGCATTGCATAACATCTCCCTCTTCTTTTTGTAGGCTCTGGTGTTTTCCTGGTGATGACCTCATTGCTGTTTCCTGGCAACGCCCACGCTGCGATGAAGGACCTCTCTTCCTCCTCCTCTCCTCTCAGCTCCCTGCTCCACTACCCGTCCTCCAAAACCTCCGTTGTGCCGTTCTCCCCGTCCGCCAGCGCCGCCTCCTCGCCCGGGTCATCGATAACATCAGCTCCGCTCTCCAAACCTCAGCCCTTCTGCCTCCAGACAGGGCCGCACCTCATTGCCAGCATGCAGCTGCAGAAGCTCAACTCGCACTACCAGAACCTTGCCGGTGCTTCTGCCGGACACCCAGCACCTGGTGGCACTCAAAGGGGTTTTGGTGCTTCTCCTCTGGGCACGGGAAACCAGCTTCTGGGGCCGACTGGAGGCCTTGCTGGAGGTGGGATGGGTGTGGGGATCAGCATGGGGAACCAAAGCTCTGGTGCAGGTGGAATTATCGACTTTGACCCCGTGGACGAGGAGGTTCTCATGTCACTGGTGGTGGAGCTCGGTTTGGACCGAGCCAATGAGCTGCCCGAGCTTTGGCTGGGTCAGAACGAGTTTGACTTTATGTCAGATGTGCCGGCCGGATGCTGACCTACGGGAAGAAGAACTATCAAGATGCAGCGGAATTGATAGACAAAGAGAGAGAAAACTTTCTCTCCTCTGTTTTGTTGTTCTTTCCTCCCTTTCTTGATTGATAAAATGAGGAAACTGAAGAGACACTGAGTGCTAAAGAAAAAGATATTAGAGGCATACTTTTGTTTCTATTTTACTCTCATATTCCATGTGCAGAGAGATGGATAAAAGAAAAAGTCAGCTTACTTTTTTGTTGTTGTTTTTTAATGCATAAAGAGAGCAAAATGTTTTATGTTCCGTTCGATCAGTACATTTTTCTTTTCTAGGATGAAACTGGTGGTTGAAACCAACCTAACGGGATTAAGAACTTTTATTTTTCCTTTCATTAAAAGCATGAGCAGAACAGAAACAAGGACTCTTTCTGCCATCCCTCCATCATGCTGGCTTATTGAAAACAAGGTGATTGACGGGTGATGGGAGACGTTTCTAACCTTCTAACAAAGCAGTAAAACGATCAACACACCTGTTGGACTTTCTCAGTGCTCTTTTCTCCCGATCAACGTAAGGAAAATGAAAATGGGAATCATGACGTTATGGGAGATTTGTAAAGGATGACAAACACTATGTTTCCTGTTTTCTTATGGACAATATTAGACTCTGGTCTCATGGGAAAGAGACTCCTGTCTCTTGGCTTCACAAAGAAAGTGATTGTCTGAAACTGGTTATCTCAATGTACTTTTCTTTCTGTCCTTTTTTTCTTTGAATTAAGTTCAACCAGTCGTATTCACGGAACATGTTATTTAAGACAGTGGCTGATATCCATCAGGACTTTTGGACAAGGAGCGCTTCTGTAACCGGTTCTACTTTTCTGAGCATAATGAATTAGATCAAGGGATGTGGAATCTTTCGGAGCATGGGACCTGAATGGAGTAAATTGTTTCTTGCTCTGGAGCGCAGCCTCATTAAAATGATCGAGGCCTTTTTGGTGGTCATGTGAGTCGCCACTACATGTACGTGTTTTGTTTTCTGGCCTACAGTGTAAGAAACTCTGACCCCGGTGGTGTCAATGATCCTGAATAGCACTTCCTCCTACATGGAGGATACAAGGTCTGTGTGGACACAACCCGAATGAACAAATACATTCATGTGCCCTTTGCTTTCTTTGTTTTTGCTGTTTCACCACTTTGATGTTTGTGTCAAAACCGTTTGTTCAGCTCCAACAGACCTTATTATCAAGAAGCGTCTCTGTCCCTGATAAGGAAGCATTGTCTGTTTAGCCATCAGGCTCAGAGGCTGCTGTTTGCACACTTTGCGGGGCAGCCTTTGAGCTGAACATGCTCTGTGGTCCAGACTGGTCTCACTCCAACTTATCAGATACTGAGGCTTGGTCAGTGGCCCCTGGCAGCAGATACAGAGGCACCCTTGGTGGTGGTATGACATGCGCCGGGCAGAAGCAGTTTATAAGGAGCAAGAAAGTCCACATAGGTTGAGTGGGAGGTGAGGTGGATGGGTCAAACAAACTTTGGACTTTGACCCGAGAGCTGCTTGTGTCCCGTGTGAAACCAAAAGTCAGTCGAGTTATTTTAATAACAATGTAGTGTGCTAGTATGTGTAGCATGCCCCGTAAGTGATGTCACATTATATATGTATGACATACGTTATGTGATGTTACATTACATACAGTAACAACTTATTTCAAGCCAAACCATTATGTTTTCTTCTAAACCTAACCAAATACTTCTGTTGCCTAAATCTACAAAGGTAAACCTAAAAGGGGAAGTGTGTTTAACTATGTTGTAAGTTTATTTTGTAAAACACTATGCATTTATCAAGCAGAAACTGTACATTTCCTGTGAAAATGGAAGTGTAAATTGACATGCTGTTCCCAAACACCCAAAACGGACGCTGGAGAGGCACCTAGCATCATTTTTTAACATGTAGGGCTCCTGACCAAACGTTGGTATTTGATGAGCTGGGAGGGGAACATGTTGGCCGTGCAGGCTTTGGGAAGGTTGGAGTTGGACCAAAGTAAACTAAACCTTTCATAAGCTACTACAGCTTATGGCAGGTGTGGCACATTTTATTATCATTAACTACCAGCTTCTTACTGATTCACTGCCTCTTGAAGACAGAGACAATATGGAAAACATCTTCATGAGCTAGCTGTGTGCCCTCTGGCAGCCATATTGGAGGTCCTCGTGCTCTTTGGCTTAAGTTCAACAGTTATTTGTTCAACTTCTCCAACTGACCACAATCAAAAGAGTTGTTTTGGTTTGGCGAGCTAGCCAACAGTCACTATCTGCTAGACATTTGACTCTGGTTAGGCCTACTTGTAGAGAGTTAGCATTAGCTATGGGTAGCATCCTGGAAAAACTATGTAAGAGTATTACTTTTTTTTTTTTTTTTTTGATTTTTCGAAATTCAGTTTACCTGCTCTCCTTTTTTCCCCCTTATGCCTGACCCTAATACTCTTTCGTACAAAGCCCCTACAATTTTTTTTAAATGTTAACACGTGAAATTTACAATATCGCTTTAAAACAGTAGTTTGACTAAACAATACTAACTGAAGGTCCATTTACAACTTTTTCCAGAGCTCTCAACTGTGTCATTTAAATAAACTTTTAAGCTAACGCGGACGAATAGTTCTAAAAGTGTTCTGTTTACGGGTGTCATGATATAGGTATTGACGATAACAGTGATATTTAAAAATCAAGTCCTGATATCATTTTAATGATACATGATACATGATATGATATATATGATGATATATATTGTATACGTATTCCAGCACCTTATGTCCTCGCGTTGTCTTCCTCCCCAAACGCCATCTGGTTGCCTTTTCACTACCTATTAAGTGTAATTGCTCGTCCTGTACGATTTTGTACAGATATAGTTACAGACTCTCTCCCCACCTCCTTACACTCATATTCTGAGTTGAACTCATTTGCCAAAAAAGAGGCAAAATGTACAATAAACAAATTTAAAAATAAATCTGACTGATTTTGACCGCATTTTCCCCAAAAAATGTTTTTTTATCATTAACTCTTTAGGATTTGAGGACATTAGGGGCATAGCCCAGACCTCTTACAGGGGGTCCGGGGATCCTCTCCTGCTCTTTTATACACTCTGATACTTGATATACATTTAAAGTAGAAAACCTGTTTATTTTTCTAAATTAGAAAATGGTCGGGGGGGCCACCTGGCACCCTATCTGGCCCACAGGCTGTAAGTTGAGTATCACTATTATATCATAAGCGCTACTGAGCTCACATAACAAATCCATCTCAGTGACAACTGAGCAAACTCCCATCTTCTCCTGAAGACCATTTGACACTGTTGAGGCTCAGGGTAAAAAACATTATTAAGTGGACCCTTGGGTGGGATTGTTTTGAATAAGTGTTTTACATGTGATATATTGTTTTTTTTTTTACATAAAAGTTACATGTGGAACAATTAAACATGAGATAAATGTGATAAAGTCACACCAGTTTTTATTCTTATAAGGGAATTAACAATCCCCAAAATCAGTCAATATTTTCGAAACCATCTTCTTGTTGCTGATACACCCCAATGTTACATTTCTTATTAGCATACCCTCTGTTGGACCTCCATGATGCTGCCAGATGCTCTTTAAGTTTACAGAGTCAATTCTTCATCTACCAGGTGTTGTTTCTTGCCGCTGCAGACTTTAATGGTTAAAAAAAAATCCCCAGGGTTTAAACTGACACCCCTCCACCCCCTTGCCCACCTATAGGAACTGTACTGTGCTGTTTTCCCCGCTGTAGATGGATGCAAGTTAGCACGGGGGCTCTGACCTATATATCTGTTGTGGTAAGAAGAGACGGGGGCTTGAACTGTGCGGTGGGAACAAAGGCCTTTCACCTCAGCCTGGTGTGTCTGTCATCTGGCCATTGTGGGTCTCCTCCTGGACCACACACACATGAAATAACACACCTGTACATATGCGTACATGCACACAACTCACTGAAACCAAACTATGTGCAGGAGTACAAAGACACAGAAATAAACCACATGCACACACAGGAGCATGGGGATGGTGTTACAGCAGGGAAACGGGAGTAGCAGCCATGAAACAGGCACTTGTTCAGTTACACACAGACTTCACAGGGTATTGGGGTTGTTGGTGTGTGTGTGAAAAGAGATAGTGATGTTAGGGGAAACTATGAGCAGTGGGTAATCCGTCCACATGAAGACCACTGGTGGAGGAAAAAACACGCAGGGCAGTGTTAATTTATTTAGATATAGAAGGATCAGCTTACACACACTCAGCTCCTCAGCACAATTTTCCCTGCACACATACACACGCTGCCTAATACCAGTTTTTGATGTCGATTAGGGTCTCGGTTACAGCCAGTGGACTTCCTTTTCTTTCTTTAATGAAACACGAGAAGCGGTGATTAATGAAAACCCGATGATGGACTAATTTGACAGAGGGATTTGCAGGATATTTCCCTCGTAACAACCACTTTATTGAAAGATGTAAAGACGCTTCTAATCACAACGAAATCCAAAAGACAGACACGCTGATTCTCTCTTCCTCTGTCTCGTCGCCTAAGTGGGTCAAAATAACATTCTTGAAATGGAAGAGTCTTGTGTTTGTTTCCATCTGCTTGACGAAGTCCTTTTGTGTGTGTGTGTGTGTGTGTTTTGTGTGTGTTGTGCTGTGGTCCGGCCTTGATCCCAGCTGAGTGAATGTTATTTTTGCTGTGTGAAGCAGAGGGACGTCCCGCCCCCTCTTCTCCTCCCCTGAGAAGTTGCCTGGTTGAGATGTTTGAATTGTCTGAGGGCTTTCATTTCCTCTTCTCCATGATGCCATCATATTGCAGATTAACCCCGGCAGAGACCTTTTGAACCACAATATACCTCATAGCTGTTTGGTGTCTAATGATTCGTCACTACGGTTTCAGTTTGCTTGGATACCACATGGGTTTACGTTAGCAACTAATTACTGCAAAATCATCACACTATTTGAAATTGGACCTTTATCTAATGGACAACACTGTCTGGCTCAAATGCTAACCTTACTACAGACCTTGTTTTGTTCAATACCATACGTTCATAGACTGACTTCTTTCTTCGGTTAATCCATAGGCTTCAATGTGCTCCAGTACTCCCATCATGCAGAATCATAGTCTTGTTTTCTTCGAGTACTAATTCAGTTGTGCGATGGGACTGTTTGATTGGTTGACGGAAAATTAATTACCAACACGTTTCATAGATAAATTATTTTTGTTTCAAGAAAAAAAGCCTCTCAAATGATTGCGGGGCAGACTATTTCTTGGCTCAAAGCAGTTGCCAGGTAACCAGCGGTGACTTCAGGAAGTTTCTGCTCCTGCTTTCACAATTAATGATTGAAAAGACTTCATTATCCAGATTGACAGTAGTTTTTGGATGCTGAGATTTTTCCTGAGCTCTGTTTTAAACCTCCACCGCCCCAACGACAAATGAAATGGATTTACAGTTTCCATGTGACAGTCAGTGATTTACTGCACGCTGGGCCGTTGCCTCTGGGCCTCAGGGTCATGAAAAATGTTCCAACACATCAAGTCCTGTGAAAACCTTGGACATAAGGAGTGATATATCTGCTAAAAGCCGGCTGTTACAAGGTTCCCTCTCCACGGTAATGAAAGCCACTGATCTGCTGCCAGGTCTGCTTGTGTGTGAAACTGAAGTAGACTTTGCACTGATTTACTCCTTTTATTCATCATATTTTACTTTTAAACCTGTAAAGTCTTCAATTTTTTTTTGCTGGTTTCACATGCAGTTACTTTCCTTGATTTGTTTTTTCTAATGATGAAATGAATATTATTCAAAGATGATTTTTAAAGCACTTTTGCTCACCGGCTCTCACTTGTACATCTATATGAATATGTAAATGACTGAGATCATATTAAAAAAAAAAATGCTTGTATTTTTGTTACGGCTCTGAGTTTTGGTGGAGAAATAAAGAAAGTGAAAACCACGCTGGAGTGAATGTTTGACATTAACACAGCAGACACTACAGCATATGAGGTTGCATGGAATGATTGCTCAATGTTTGAAAATTTTAACCATATCTACAGATACGTGTGGCATGTATAGAATATAGAACAATATATATTTACCGGTAAAGGTCAAGCATACATAAGAATAATTGTGTGTGCGTTTAAACAAAGATAAATAACAGATGATAGATATTTTATAAGCAGTTGGCCTGTTAACATTATTGTACAAGGCTTCCATCTGCTGGCCAGTAGTGGTAAGTGCACAAGTTGACAGACCCTCTTACTCCAATACCCATACTACCATGCTATTTAGCATGCTAGAAAAAGATTTAGTATGTCTCAATACATAGTTTGTGAAATACAGTAGGGACATGCCAGTAGGTTTTGATGGGATGAACTACGAATTGAATTAAGTTCTTTTAACTTGAGCTGAATATGTTTGAGATTGGTCACGGGAGATTAGTTGGGGATTTATGAAGTAGCACAGGATATAGAAAGACCAAGATGTTGACGCGGATGGCCGCCTCGGGACGTCGCTCTTTTCCAGCACAGTGTCTACTGTGGACACCTTCAGGTTTCTCGGTACCACAATCTCTTGGGACTTGAAGTGGACCTCCCACATAGACTGGCTGTACTTCCTGCGACAGCTCAGGAAGCTCAACCTGCCCCAGGAACTGCTAATCATGTTCTACACAGCCATAATCCAGTCTGTTCTCTGCACATCCATCACCGTCTGGTTTGGATCTGCCACCAAACTGGACAGGATCAGACTGAAAAGGACAATCAGGTGTGCAGAGAGGATTATTGGGACCGATCCTCCATCTATCCAGGACCTTTACCGGTCAAGGGTCAGGAAACGGGCAGGAAACATCACTGTTATGTCATTTCTGGTACATTGAGAGCAAGTCTACTGGAGTCAAATTCCTTGTATGTACACATGTACTTGGCAAATAAAGCTGATTCTGATTCTGATAAAGCATGTCAACTTTTAAACCACAGCAGTTCATAAAAGATGGGCAGAAACAAGATGCACACAAGTTGTGTCATCTACCCAGGTGCAGGTAGTTCTACAACCTCTCCAACCCACTGGGCGATTAAGTCGAAGAGGATAAGTCAGAAGCAGAAGGCAGAGAGACGGAGGTCACACAACTTAAAATATGCACAACAGTTTAACTGTTGGGGATACAGGACTTTAGTCAACTTGTTCATAAAGCATAGCGCTTGCCAAATGAGGAGTTCAAACCTTTTACCTCTTTATCCCCAGAGCAGGTGACTTACTCACTGTGCCACCAGCAAGACATGGCTTATCATGCTCCTTCTGACAACACATGTATTCTATTGTCTCTGCTGTGTTAATGCAGCAATACTCCAGCTGTGGTCTCATGTCGACATCTGAAGGTGTAGGGTGAACTACAGGTGGATGGAACTTATTTCAGCTCAATATTTCTTAATAACTTTATATAACAGCATCGGTTTGAAAGTCAGAATGTTAAGTCTGAATTTCAGAACATTGCCATAACATACATTTGACATAAAAGCAGTCAGGGTGTCTCTTTTTCTGCCTCTTCATAATATTTGGCATGCTCCTCTTTCAGCAGCACCCTCCACTGTGGACACTGTCTGCACCAACACACAACTAACAGGCCGCATAGAAACATTTAAGCATGCACAAACATGACCACTGATCCACATCAAAGCATCTGGGTAAAGCTATGGTGCACTCCAGTACAGTATGTGGCGCTATGTGTCTAACCATAACCACGTCGGTTTATGATACGTCATTAAAACAGGAAGACGAGTCTCCACAGCACATGGTTGTCTGTCTTCTTAGGATTTATCTTTTAAATCATCACCTGACATCGTCTTCTACCGCTGTGTTATCGTACATGGTTGTATCCTATGTCGAAACTCAACATCTTATGATGCCCACATTTTTAAAATGGTCGATTTAAAACGATCTCGTCGCTGTTTTTTAATCGCCCATGTGCGTGTTAGCTGACGGTGGCTAGCAGCGTTAGCAGCGTAGCTTTTTTTGTACGTGACTTCGAGCGATATTTAACCGTATAGTTCAAGTAAAGTCAAATAATGAAATGTAATATATATGTGCTGAAATGTATAGTGTTGTTAGTATGGCTAGGCCGCAGCCGGTTGTGCCAATGACTTCATTTTTTCGGCATGTTAGCATAGCATGCTAGCCAGATTGCAAGAGCTTCCGGGAAGAGGCTGTTTCGTGCTGTCACGTGACCTTGTTTTTATGAATGAGGACCAGAGGACCGACACTGCGTCACACACACCAACAAACAGAGGCAGAGCGAAATATAAAAGAGAAGTTAGAGTTTTCTGACCTACGACGGCGGCTTGTTTTGAAATAGGCTAGCCCTCCGTGGTGAACTTAGCTGCCCCGAAGACTAACTCCAGAGTGTCGGACCGCACCCTGTCAGCGTCCCGACTGGTGAGGGGTCACATTACTGGCAAAGTACTATGGACAAACATCAGTGACGGGTAAGATACGCAGCATCAAAAACAACAGCTACAGTTTATTAGTGACGCAGATAATGCGAGTAAGAATATTGTTTTATGTTATTGACAAGGTGGTACTTGGAGGTTGGTTATACTGGAGCTTATTAAAGGTTAAAACTATTATTCAAACACAGTGGCCTCTGTCACCACATTCTTTATGAAGCCCTCTTCTTATAGATGTTTTTGAAGATTGTTCAATGTCCAAGGTACAAAGTAGGAGAATGCAGTTTCCCCCAGATTTGTTAAAACCCAGGGAACATTAAAGAGCAACCACCTGGAGGAGTGTAGCTAGTGTGTAACCACCAGAGCTGACACACAGGAGGGTGCAGACAGAGGTAGGCTGAAAGTTTGCCCAGTGTTGCCTTAAAGATGAAAACCTACCAGTGCTGTTGTCTGGGAATGGCCGATGACGCCCCACCTGCCAAATCATAAAGAATGCAGTGTTGAGGACGAGATGTTGCATTTGTAACAAACATAGAGAGGCATGGCACACTGAATCAATGCTACATAAAATGGAGGAGGTTGCATGTATATACAATATGTCACTGTAATCAGTCACAGACAGAAAAGCAGCTTCCACAAATGTTTTCTTGGCACTAAAAGTAAAGCAGGATTTATTTGTAAAATAAAAGCCAGTCTTCACTTTAAGCTTCCTAACTAGAGTAGCATTAAATGAGAGCTTGTCATCTATCCATACACCCACGTATGAGGACACTTACTGTCAGAAGTGAAGATGCTTAACATCAAGCAGCTGGGAGCGAGCTTTTGAGAAGACTTAAAATCAATGTTAAACTCAGCAGAGCGGTTTGTAATGACTGAAATGCAGTCTGATGCTCTTGAACTGCCTAACAGGTCCTTAAGAAGTCTTAAAATGCCTTCAGTGTTTCCACAATAAGGCCTTTAAAGTCATTAAATAGTATTAAATTTGAATTTGTGAGGTGCTACAAACATTTTATCATATTTATCAATATTTTAATTTCTTTTTGTGAAAATGACTGAAGCCTTTCTATGCAGCAGCCCACATTTCTAATGTTACAAATCTTAAAAAAAAAACAAAAAACTATAATACTGTAATTTGCACTTTGCATATTGCAACTTGAAGGAAAATCGCAACTGTATTTTAGTCGTTTTCAAAAGGCAGACTTTTTTTTACATGCACTCACTGGCCACTTTATTAGGTACATGTAGCAGACACTCAGTGTATTTAGGCATGTAGACATGGTCAAGACGACCTGCTGAAGTTCAGACTGAGCATCAGAATGGGGAAGAAAGGTGATTTAAGTGACTTTGAACGCTGCATGGTTGTTGTTGTTGCCAGACGGGTAGGAACAGGAAACTGAGGCTATAATTCACAGGGGCTCACCAAAACTGGGCAATAGAAGATTGGAAAAACGTTGCCTGGTCTGATGAGTCTGGATTTCTGCTGCCACATTCAGATGGTAGGGTCAGAATTTGGTGTAAACAACATGAAAGCATGGATCCATCCTGCCTCGTATCAAGGGTTCAGGCTGCTGGTGGTGGTGTAATGGTGTGGGGGATATTTTCTTGGCACACTTTGGGCCCCTTAGTACCAACTGAGCATGGTTTAAACACCACAGCCTACCTGAGTATTGTTGCTGACTGTGTCCATCCCTTTATGACCACAGTGTACTCATCTTCTGATGGCTACTTCCAGCAGGATAACGCACCATGTCAGCTCAAATCATCTCAAACTGTTTTCTTGAACATGACAATGAGTTCACTGTACTCCAATGGCCTCCACAGTCACCAGATCTCAATCCAATAGAGCACCTTTGGGATGTGGTGGAACGGGAGATTCTCATCATGGATGTGCAGCCGACAAATCTGCAGCAACTGTGTGATGCTATCATGTCAATATGGACCAAAATCTCTGAGGAATGTTTCCAGCACCTTGTTGAGTCTATGACACCAAGAATTAAGGCAGTTTTAAAGGCAAAGGGGTCCCACCTGGTACTAGCAAGGTGTACCTAATAAAGTGGCTGGTGAGTGTACTTCCATTAAAGAAATGGTTGATGGGTTGATGATTAACGCGTAGGGTGTGGCAGACTGACTCTCATAACAGGCCGGGTTGGTGAGGGTTTTTAAAAACACCCTGACTCACGCATCAGTAGAGTCCAGTGTGAACATCAGATTAACTAGTTTTGCTTTTCTCCTTTAGGCAAAAGGGCTGGAGAAGCGCCTGACACACGGCAAAGCACCAAGGCGATTAATGCTTGACAAGCTCACCGGAGCTTTTGTAAGTAACATTTTCCTCCAGCACTTTCCTCACATCATTTTAAATACGTTGTTTGGTTTTATCACTGCTGTTACTGTTTGAACTGACAGTAGCTTTGTATGTCTCTCATGTAAAATTCTTTAAAGGAAGGATATGCAGCAAAGGCAGGGGTTGCTCACAGTCCATGTTTCTCAGTTCAATATTTATTCCTTCTTAAACCAGTTAACAGAAAAGCGACTGCGGTGGTTTCTATGTTTTTCCCTTGAAACGTATTGTCAAATGAAACGCCCAAAGCAAAAACAATGTGACTATAACATGACTCCAACAGGGAAATAGCATTTTTAACAAGCTATATTGTATGCTGGGTTAATGAGATTAATCGGTGGCTACATTTTCAATGCAACAGTAAACATACTGTTTATGGCCAGTCTTTTTTTTGGTTGCACTCATGTGTCAGGAGAAAAGAATGCTGGCTGGAAAGAAAGAGAGCTTGTGACGCAGCCGCCACGTTGCACACGCTGCTCAACAGCGCACTAAAATATGTTTAGGAAACATTCGAGACGAGAAATAGCTAATACAGTAACGGTCTCGGTCCATGTTTGATCAGCGCTGTGAGTCAGCAGTTTGACTGCAGCTCACAAGCAGTGCTTTACATAATCAACAGCTGCGTTCGACTCCACAGCTCTGATTGGCTGTTTTCCATGAGTCATGGTAGATTCTAGGAAAGGCCATTAGAGACGGAAGGAGAAGGAGGAGGAACATGATTCTTTTTAGATGATGTCTTGCGTATTTTTGTGTGGATACAGTGACAGTTTCAATAAATCACCTGACCAATGAACTTACTGTAAGTAACATTAAAAGGTTGTTAGTAAGATTTTATTGTATTAACTTCTAAAGTCTGAAAAAATCAAAACTTGATGCCCACTGTGTAGCTAGACTCGCAACGAGACGTAACCGTTTTAGAACGTTGCAGAGAAAAGTCGCAGCGGTGTGAACTGGCCATCTGAGCTCGACTCAAGCCTGCTGATGGTGTCACCTGCAACTCCACTGGTCAAATCGCCGGCGGCAGGTTTCAGAACGTAAAGCACATCACCAGTTTCAAAAGCCAAACAGCTTATAGTAAAGCCCGCTGGTCAAGTATAATATCATTTGTAGCTTCTTATATTCAGCCACTAAATAAGCCTGAAAAGCTGGAAACCAGAACGGAAGTACAGAGAGTTGTTGCATAGAGATGATACACCATCTCAGTTGCATTAGCGTGAACTGGCAGGTTTTTAGAACGTCGCAGAACGGCTCATCTTTGGTCTGAACTGGGCTCAACAAGTGTAAGAAAATTTGTTAACAACCGTTTTTCATTTCCAGGTCAGCATGTGACTGATGAGATGCAGCCAGAGAAGAGGGAAAATATCTACCTCATTTGCACTCAGGGTTCATGGCTCCTGGGACCAGTTGACAGACATCTAGCCAAACGCATTGCGAACAGGTAGGTCTGTCGTTTTTAAACTTACAGTGCAGTCAGAAAGTATTCAGACCAAGGTTTTTATAGTTCACTAAAACTTAAGTAAAGACTAAAACTAGGTGTGAAAAAGCATTCTGAGCTAACTGAAATTAAAGTCAAATTAGAATGAAGCAATAAACGAATTGAAATGATATTGTATACTTGCAGAACTAACTAAAATACAATAAAAAATCTACAGGAAATGACTTCAGTCAAATTTCTGAGTCTGTGTGACAGTGAGTCAGTTACCTTCACCAAAGGAACCAATACCGAAACAAATGAAAAAGTAATCATTTTTAAACTGTAAACACTAAACTGAAACAATCAAAGCTGCTCTTCAAACTGAATTGAAAAGTACAGAAAAGTACAGAACTGAAATAACTGATTCACATTTTCCTTTGTTGCAGCCACATGCTAAAAAGATTTAAAGTTCTCATCATTTTCAACTCAATACCTTAAATACAAAGTGAAAACATGATTTTAAAAATGTGAAATACCATATTGGCACAAGTATTCAGACCCTTTGATATGACACTTGACATTTAGCTCCGTACTTTATGTGTTATAGTGCACATATTTCTCATCACAGTGATCCACTTAATAACCATCTGCAGTAAATGAAAGCAGAATTTAACACGTGGTCTATTTTAAGTGCTCACAACCACGTCAGGAGACTGAGTGAAAAACAAAACATATTTTTATCCCTTTGCGCCTCCCACAGCCGTGGCCAGAGGCATTATGTTTTTGTCTGTCCATCACATCCTTCTGAATGTAATATCTTAAGAATACTGTGAGGGATTTCCCAACTTTGGCACAAACATCCACACAGACTCAAGGATGAACTGATTAGATTTTGGTGGTCAGTGATTTCTGTGACCTCACAAAACATGTGGGCCATAACTCATACACTGATTATGACAAAATTTCACACAGATGTCTAACAGGAAAAAAATTAGGAAGTGATGACATTTTACGCCCAAAAATGTCAAAGGTCACTGAACCTATGACATCATAATGTTCTGCAGAAACACTTTTCTGGCCATTACTCAACATCATATTTGAGTAATCGAAGGGGAGACATTTGTTAATATGCCGAATTAGTGACACTAATCATGGATGTCTACCTTGAGAGATCTTCTGAGGTTCCTGGTTGAAGGTGTGTGAAGCATCCATGTTTTAGAATATGTAGCTTCTTCACTCTTTACAATGCTTCCATATTTGAAGCATTGTCAACCATCTTGGCTATGTATGAGTCTGGACTAAGCAGCAACCTCTGATGCTAAAAAACAAAGCTAATTCGGAAGTGTCAAAAACTGCAATTCAGGGGCGTTGGTGGCTTAGTGGTAGAGCAGGCGCCCCATGTACAAGGCTGTTGCCGCAGCGGCCTGGGTTCGACTCCAGCCTGTGGCCCTTTGCTGCATGTCACTCCCTCTCTCTCTCTCCCCCTTTCACACTTGTCTGTCCTATCAATTAAAGGCTAAAATGCCCAAAAAACATATCTTTAAAAACTGCAGTTCATGGAATGACCACTTGAGGCTGGCTCCTGATAAGAGTAAAACCTGATAATTTATTAAGGCCCAAAGTTATACGTATTTAAGGATGGGGACACTTGAGTGACAGGCTGTCTGTGAGGTGTGCTACAGTCTATGAATCAGATCCACCCTTCGCTCCTCCACAGCTCTAAACTCTCATCCATATATGGTCGCTCCTGGCTCCAAAAAATTAAGATGGCGATGGCTGAAATGCCGAATTCAATGCTTCAAAATGGGAGTCCACAAACCAGTGGTTGGCGTCACGGTAGCTACGTCCATTATTTATGCAGTCTACGGTCGAGACAGAAATGAATGTAAATTGGAACCTGATTGGCATTCAACTGCGAGGTGGTAATTGAGGTTCATACTAAACTACAACAGATTGCAAAGTCAGACTGTAGATTTTCTCAGTTCAGGCCCAGACACACCAAACTGGCTTTAGAGAACTTGTGGGATGAGAGTATTATTATTATTATTGTGTCACCTAACGCTGCCATGTTTGTCCAAAAGTTGCAAATGAACACGCCAAACTGACGGCCAGCAAGCACACATGTCCTGCGTCTGCATCAGAGGACATACCCCTCCATATGAACAGAAAATGGTTGTCTGTAATAGTCATTCAAGAAGGGAAACCGGAAGAAAGTCTTGACTGTAGTTAGCCAGTTAGCATATTAACAGCACAATGCAATGTTGAAAGAACAGAGCACTGTTACCATGCGCCAGTGGACAACACAAACCATCACAAAACATTTGTGCTAAAGCACTCACTTGCTAAAGAAAAACAATCTTGTCTCATATAACAGGTTCGTTTTACCTCACTCTCTCTTGTCTTAACTTTCCTCACTTCCGTTTCACAACCAATGTTGAAATTCCGTTTCTGACTCTCCACCTCTGTGTCTTGATACAGGAGAGATGACCTGTGGCAACCTGCTGCTCAAAAACCTGCTGCTTTTGTCCCTGATCTCTTCGGTCTGTGGTTAGTTTACACCTTTACTTCTTTACCCGCAAAGAGAGAAGTCATTACACACTTAAAGCCTCACCCACAGATTTGATCAGTTCCATTTAAAAATCTCTGTGTTATTCACTGAATCAGTTAAACAGTTTATTCGCCACCTGCAAACAAGTTATGCTGATGAACATCTGCAGCACTGAGACCATCACTAAACTCTACAGAAACATCTATGGATGGATTTTAGAGGCTCACATGATAAAGTTGATGGTTTGTCTGGTCCTCACCTCCCCTCTCTGTCTCCTCCGCAGGAACATTTGAAGTGAATGCGGCACAGACCTCCTATCAGGCAGAGGAGAACGAGGACATCACACTGGAATTTATGTTCACAACCAAAGCTGACACTTCCCCTGACCGGTTCGAAATCTATTGTGAACTGTTAGCTGACAACGAGCACGTAGTCGTGTTTCATCTGTATGAAGGTGAAGAGTTCCTCTGGTCTCAGAATAAACAGTTTGCAGGACGAGTCCAATACGACAAACACCTCCTCAGAGAAGGACGACTCATACTGAACGTGTCCAGACTCAGAACTCGTGACTCTGGCCGGTACCTGTGTACAGTAGTCACAAGTTATGGGAGCAGCACTGGGAGATGCTCGCTCAATGTCACTGGTAAGTTGCTCCTGCAGAGCTTTCTTAACAGGTTAAATCCAAACCTGTGAAGAAAATGTGTTGAGGTTTAGCCGTTGCGAATATTTTGTTTTCTTTTTGAGTAAAATGTTTATTCTTCACATGAATGATGCAGATTTGTTTGGTCTCTTTACAGCAGCGAGGCATTTTCTTGAACCTGAGACACCGAGCACAAGTCGACCACAACCAGCGACTCGGGGAAGGTACGGCCTCTACGGGGCACTGGGACTGGCAGGAGTAGCTCTACTGTTTGTTTGTTTCCGTTTATACAGGCAATCGTGGTTGATTGAAAAGATTCAATCAGCCACTCCAAACCAACAAGATTTGCCGGAAGACTGTGAAAACCATTCAAACATTTGCACTATGCCTGAAGAACAAGAATTAGTCATTGTCGCTCTGCAGGAAGACAATTCAATCATTCGCACGCTGCCTAAAGATCAAGATTCCCACTCAGAGGAAAGTTACAGTTCAGGGTATGGAGGGGGAGAAACAGATTCACAAACTTAAAATTTGTGCACACCAAGAAAACCAGTTATTATGGCAGGGCTTGGTATCGTCACTGATTTCCTGAATTGATTTGATTTTGATTTTTCGATTGGGTGGGCAATGCCGAAAAATTTCACACCTTTATTTTGTTCGGTTCATTTTCACAGTTGCACTTTTTAAAGCAAACCAAACTGCCTGCACACTGTCATGCAGTATTGCCCGAAACAACCACTGACCAGGAAGAAAAAAAGCATGAGGAAGAAAAAAACACGGCTCATCGATTGGCCAGGACCGAAATCGGAAATCCATCCCTTTCAGCCCACAGATAGCAACTGCGTTATAGTCCTCTGACCATATATCAATAAGCGCCTCCTCACTACTCCACATCTGCCCACGAGACATGTTCCATCTTTTTCTTTTGTTACCTCTGCTTCTCCCTGTTCGCGCTGTTGGTTTTGGGTTTTTTTCTACCCAAAATGCACTGCACTCTGCGTCACTTCCTCTCTCTGGTCCACTTCCTCTCTTTGGTTCGCTGGATAGTCCGTTTGCATTTCCCACTGTAAGCGAATCGCACCAGGGCTCACTTGCAAGTAAACTGAGACCCCCAGTTTTCAAGCACACTGGGGTTCGCTCATTTGGTCCGCACCACTCCAAACGAACGGAACTATCCGTGGAAGCGGACCAGGGTTTGTTTAAAGCGAACCAATAGCGCCAGAGTGAATGTGTCCTTTAAGACAAGTTTTAAGACCCGACACAAAGTGACCTAAACCGCTAGATATAAACAGTTAATGGAAAGTGCTCTGTGCTTGTTTAAAACATGGTATCAGTGGCGGTGGATGAGAGACTGCGGACAGAGTAGACTGAAATATCACTTTTTACATGTTTACATGTTGCTGATCAGCTGTATTGATAAAGTATTGACTTTTTGCTCGTGGAGGTTTTATTGCACTCACAGTAACAAGCATAGTTGTCATCAGCTCAAGTTATCTTCAGGTCTGTCTCCACCGCGGCATCTTTACTCCGTGTTTGTCCAAAACATAACAGACACCTAACGGTTACAGATAAAAGACCCGGTAACGTTGGAGCTCCTCAATACTATGGTTGTTAATAATTTAGCGCCACGGCCTGTTTACTACCGGCGAGATTACCAGGGTCAAAGTTTGACACATCCGTGGAAAAAGGCGTATGTTTAAAGATCAATCTCGGATTTTATGAATTGATATCATGTCACTCAAATGAAGATCAATTTGTTTTATCAGTTATTTTAACCCAGCCCTGTATTGTAGTGATGTAGTGTTACAGCTAACATGAAACAAGCATATCCCTCTGCACTGAACAAGTTAACACATCAGAGTCAACTTGTCTGCACAGATATCCGCCCTCTTAGTGTTGTAAAGAGTGAAGGTTACCTGAATATGGTGAATACAATGGAGCCTTGTTACACTACATGCCTACCTACAACACATCTCTGACATTGCTGTGCCCAAGTTGTACATGGAAGTGGAAATGACGGTGCTAGATTCACTTTGGCACGCAACGCTAGGTACCGTGTCTGAAGGGTTACTTTTGGTTCCAAAGGTACCATACCAAAAATGTTAGGGGGAAACGGGGCTATAGAGCGCCACTTAATTGTACGTAACTGTAACAGTGCATCACGTAATGGCTGAGTGGAAGCTGGACTTTCATGTGCTACGATCAAGAGCGATGCATGATAACCACACAGGAGAGAGCATCGTAGCGTTACTAAAGGAGGCCGGTACTGAGTGTAGATTGGCGGCAAAAGATCCCACATTGTAACAGACAATGCATCCAATATGAACTTTGTGGCTGGACTGAGAGACTTGACCCACGTATAGTGTTTTAAACACAGCCTGAACCTGACCTCATAGAGAGCACTGGAATTGTTAACAGTGGCGAGACTACTCAGCAGTCACTGCCTTTTTTGGACGCAACACCATAGCCAGCCACCAGCTAAAGCCCAAACAGGACCTGCTCCAGCTTCCAGGACCCAGGTCAGTCACAAGATGGGCCAGCTCAGATGACATGATTTTTAGAGCAATGATGAGTCACCTATGCACAATCACGTCAGCAGAGGCCCAGAAAGACTGAAAAGGATATCTTAACACTGAGCCTGGCTGACATCACACGTGCCAAGGAAGTGCTCCAGGCACTCGAGCCAATGAAGGATGCCACTTTGGTAATGTCATAGGAGAGCACGCCCAGTCTATCTAAAATTGCACCACTTCATGCCAAGCTGGTCACAAGCACAGAAGGAAGCCTGGATGACACAGACAGTGAAGGACATCAGAGCTGCTTCAGCACAAGATCTGGGGAAGAGAGATGCCAGTGAGAAGAAGACACTGTGCCTGGTGTCAGCTCTCGATGCTAAGTTTAAGGATCTACCCTTTCTCTCTGAAGCAGAGACCAGTGAGACCTCCTCCAGCCTGATTGATGCTGTGGTGGCGGCCATGAAGAAGCTACAGAATGTAAGTAAATTAATTAATTAGGCTATACCCTCATGCCAGCAACAGCAGTGCCCACAGGCATTATGTTTTTGGGTTGTCCATATGTCCATCTGTCTCATTCTCATGAACATGATATCTTAAGAATGCTTAATGAATTTGTTTAGATTTGGCACAAACGTCCACTAGAACTCAACAGTGAACTGATTTGGAGGTCAAAGGTTAAGGTCACTGCAAGTTTGCATCTGTCTCATTCTCGTGAACCTCATAGCTCAAAAACACCTTGAGGGAATTTCCTCAAGGTTGGCACAAACGTCCACTTGGACTCAACAATGAACTGATTAGATTTTAGTCGTCAAAGGTCTCGGTCACTTAGACCTCGCACCTGTCTCATTCTCGTGAACAAGATATCTCAAGAACGCCTGGTGATTTTCTCAAATTCGGCCCAAGTTGTCTGTCCATCACATTCTCCTCAGCGTCATATCTCTAGAGTACTTTGAGGGATTTCCCAAATTTGGCACAAACATCCACCTGGACTCAAAGATGAATTGATTACATTTTGGTGGTCCACGGTAGCTGTGACCTCACAAAACATGTTTTTGGCCCAAACTCGAGAATTCATACGCTAGGTATGACAAAATTTCACACAAACGTCTAATAGGATAAAATGATGACATTTTATATCCAAAAGGTCAAACAGTTTTCTGGCCATTATTCATTGCTGTAACCCTAACCCAAAAAGGGAGACATATGGTCAGATACTGACTCTGTGACACTCATTTTTGTCTGGGTATGCATCTTAAGACTGTGCTGACTGTATAGATTTTCTGTGCTGCCGGGTAAATACATGTATGAAGCATCCACGTTTTAGAAGTTTTATCTTCTTTGCAGCAACATACATATTCAAAGCATTGTCTATCGTCATGGTATGTATGGGACTGGACAGACATGGATGTAAACTGTAAATGCAGCTTGACTGGTGGCAGTAGGAGTGTTGTGGTAGTTAATGTTAATTTACTGTAAAATTATACTAGTTTGATTTTATGCTTTGATGTTTTTCAGCAACAAGAGGAGGTAGACAGTCCGGTGGAGGAGAAGACTCATCTGAGGTTTATCACCCACCTAACTATGAAGATAGCCCTACCATCGCCACCCATGAAGAGACAAAGGAGCACCTGTGCATTGGCTTGAAGCAACATTTGCCTCTGCCAAAGTCAATGCTGCACCAAAATCTGCACATGATGCTGCTGCAGCTGAGACCAAGAGGTTTAGAGAAGAAAAACCTTTGCCACCCCTTGAAAATCCTCTTAGTTGATGGGAGGAACACAGACTTCAGTGCCTTCAGCTACTCAGAATAGCAAAGTGCTTCCTGTGCATTCCTCCTACAAGTGTCTGGACAGATTTCTCCACCGCAGGAAACATCGTAACTACACAAGGAAGAGTCCTGAAAGCTCAACATGTTGACCTGCTTGTCTTCCTCCACAAATACCTTGACAGTAAATCATAAGCACTGGCGTTCATACAAACTGGAATAATGTGAGAACCAAGTTGAAATAATGAAAGAATGTTCAGCATCGCAATATATTAACTTATTGTACCTTTGTTTTTGTTTTCTTTCTGCAAGCACTTTTATCTTTCATTTTATTCAAATAGGCAGATGTAATTCCATTGTTCAGACTGAACAAAACACAGTGTTACTACATAAGATAGAGACAGCTGTTCAGCACTCAGAGTGGGAAACACATGACCACAATGAGCTACATTCCAATACAACAACCCACCCACAGATAAACATGGCATTAAAAAACAATACATGTACATACATTCTTTTAAAAACCGATTTCAGTGTGCTAAAAAACAACAATGGCCTTATTTAGAGAGGATATCTCGCAGCTACCGTATATCTCTTAAAGGCTTGTGGATTCTGCACGTCCTTTATTACAGGAGGCAGCTGATTCCGCTCGGTAGCAACAGTGTGAAGCGAAGAAACCATGCACATCGTGGTTTTGAATCTATGGATGTTAGAGGGACAATGTAAAATAGTTTTGTGACATTAAATCCTGCACTATGCAATGGGATAGGACAAAATATTGCTTTGGGAATACAATTTACTCCATTTTTTTGTGAATATAGGGCTCAATATTTGTTTTTATTTTTATTCATTTAACCTTTGTTTCATGTTGAGATTGAAAATCTCACCTGGCCAAAATCGGCCTGTGCACCTTTTTACAGCAGTGCCTTCAGTGTTGCCAAATTGTTGACTTTCTAGCTAGATTTTTTTTTTTTCACTTTCAGACCCTCTCATGCCTTAATTTCTAAAAAATAACCCACTGCCTCCGCAGGCAAATGGACCTGCACTTGTATAGTGCCTTTCTAGTCATTCTACCATTCAAATCACGTAAACACTACATGTCCATCAGGAACCATCAGTATCTTGCCCAAGGATACTTTGATGTGCCATCGAGGTACAGCCTATTGAGCTATCATCACGTTACGAGTGTGGAGCTCTCTGGATGGCTGCTAACATTTGGTATATGAGGCATAACCCAAATGTGTCTATAGGTGTAACCGGATAGGCAGCTTCTCCCTGCAGATTCTGACAGTGCCAAAGAAGTAACCAATGTTCTAGACGCTTTCAAACTAACAGCAAAAACACTCTAAATGGGTCCCTTTGTATTTTGACAATGAATGTTTGTTGTTGCAGTAGCTGATGGGAGATTATCAGAGACCCAAGCCATTGCCCTAGCAACAGAATAGCAAGTAGTGTTGATCATTGCTGATATCATCCACACTCCCATATCGTCGCTGTCCAATGAAAAACACGTATCTCCGCTTTTGACGAATTTAACTTTCTATGCGCTTTGATGGACACTTCTGACACCCAATAGAGATACGCGTTGAAAAGATGATGTGATAAAACGTCTTTCCATTGGTCATTTGGATACCCACGCTAACGGTTGCTAGGGAATATTATGGACACTCCATGCACTGTAGAAAGTCAAAATCGTCAAAAGTGGAGATACATATTTTTCATTGGACAGCGACGATATGCTGTCATAGGACACTAAAGTAAAACACATGGTAGAAACGATTGAACCCTGCCAATATGCACCTTGATGTGTGCACTTTAATCAGTCCGTTGTGCCTGCTCTGTATCAAGGAGCACCAGCTGCCGTCCAGGAGTGAACTGCTCATGCTTTAAAGATAGATAGTTACTTTATATTGCTGAAATGTATTTATTTAATTCAAAACATGCCTGTTTGAAACAGGCAGTTGCTTGGTCTGTTGTATTGCTGCTGTGCTTTCTCGAGAACCGCTCATACAAACCGCTTCGCACTCCACGCTGCCCTTCTTTGGGTCCGTAGCAATACACCTGGGCCCCACATAGCTATAGATTCATTGTGATGTGCCAATGTGAAGAACAAATCGTATGTCGAAACGGGTCCCCAGCAATACACCTGGGGAGTGTGAAGTAGATCGGATGAATGGTTTTCGGGACATGCAAAGATTAGATTACAGTATGTAAATAGTTGAGTGTTTCTGCAGATAGAGTTAGTAGAATTATATTTAAAGTTTATGAAAACGCACTGTATTTTTTAAAGTTCAATAAATCTGGATATTTTCAAAGTCTATGAGTAATCGTGTTAAATTATTGTGATTTCAATGTATGCACGAGCATTGCAGTCCTATTTTATCCCTCTGAGACCCACCACAGAGGGACAGGGGATCATAGCAGGTCAACAGTAGTTGCCACATAGAAGTGGTATACATCATTTGAAAGCAGGGAACCTGAAGATAAATTGGAGATAGTCTACTGTGTGCTAACTTTTTCTAGTCATAAAGCAGCAGAAAAAATGTTTTGGTTAAGCGCCTTTCACAATTTAGAGGGGGTATACAGGGGTTTACAGGATTATGATGGAGGTGTTTGACAGACATTCTCATCGTCATATGTGTCCTATAAGTTGTTGCAGCAATTTTCTAGTTGATACCATTTGTTAACAGATTTGGTGTTAAATCAAAGCACTTTTGAATACTCGAGATTTGTTTAAAATGGTCAAAAATCCCTCTGAAATATCACATTAAGCCCCCAAGACCTTGAGGAACACCATGGAAATATTCATGCATTTGGTATCAAAACAATTAACAATTTTTTGGCGAGCACTACTGTTCGTGAAACTGCTCAGAAACCCCCTTATTGTCAACATGCCTATGAAAGTCATCCATGCTCTGAATGCCCGAGTTCTTTGGTTTGTAATTGTAAACTTTCATGAGGCTGTAATTATCCAAGAGGTTGCAATAGGTCCATTTTATACAGTGATTTCCATTTCCAAAAAAGGTCCCACTACAATGAAATGGCTACCATGGGGACGATCATCATCACACATGGAGAGAATTTGGCACATGGAATCCGCAAGAGTCTCAGTTTTCCAGTCATGCCCAATTTATACAATTCAAATACTGGTTAGGGGCCCAGTATGCAGAACCACTCAAATGCAATAGGCGAAAATAATGTGTGCTGCATGCAAAAAGCTGCATGGGTTTTGCCCCAAACTGCATGGGACTGGCATAAAGTGGGCATGTCAATAGTTAAAAACATTATTGCACAAGGCCTCCATCTGCTGGTATCTGGAGGTAACACATGGTGAATTAATTTTAACCATTAAAACATTTCAAAAAGGCATATATACAAATCTTTTCTTTACATTTTCAACATGTCAAAAATAAATTATGAGTCTTTAATTCCTTTTCAAATTTCTTAACTATGTAATTTGGCAATAATTACAGGGGAAAATGAATCAGAATCAGAAGTACTTTATTGATCCCTGAGGGGAAAGAGCGATTCGTTACATTCGCTCCAATGTAAAGAATAGAGAATTATCAGAAATAAGAATAAGAGTATGAAATAGAGGTAAATATGAAGTAATAAAATACAATAAAATATAAATATCAATGTGCATTATGCTACAATGATGACACTAGTTCTTAAGGTATTAAGAATAAAATATATCTTAACTGTGCTGAGTCTGTAAGTGTGTAAACATATACACACACATGCACTGTGCTACATTACACTGTATAAACTAGTGTTACATTCAGAAATATCAAACATGTATTATGCTTTAATGCTTACAACAAACAATATATACATCAATAGATTAAAGACAATAATAATAATAAATATAACTATGTACAGTTATATGCATTGTATGTTGAATAAATATTAACATTCAAGAGGTGTTGGTGAGAATGAAGTCGTATACTGAAGAATATTGCGGTAGTTGAATTATTGCACCAATTATTAAAGAATAAAATTAAAATAAATTGAAATTAAATTAAATTAGATCAAATAATTGCACCGAATATTGCGGTAGTTGAATTATTGCACCAATTATTGAAGAATAACATAAAAAAAAAAAAATTAGAATAGAATAAAATAAAATAAAATAGAATAAAAAATAAATTAACAAAATTCTGAAACTCTATTTTTGTGTGTGGAGCAGTTGTTGATTTCAGGTGGAATTTGCTATTAATTTATTATTGGAAACTTTATTCTGTTGTCACTATGTCAGATTATATATCTGGAGACAAAGCATTTTTATCTGACCTTGATTTGCTCTGACTGAGAGACTCTAGGTAATGACCAATTTCTTGTAAGTGCAAACCTAGTTAGTAATAAACCCTATTCTGACTCTGATGCTATTGAAGCATCTTGGTGGCATTAATCACTAGCAAGGCATTCGTACCAAATTACATAGTTCTTTCAAGAAAACTTCCTCAGAATTTATTATCAATTCAATCCAATAACTGACCTTTCTTCTGAATATTTTAAATGGTGATTAATACAGCTGTACTGGTACAGAGGCAGCAGACAGAATTAGATGTTCACATTAAAGCCAAATATTAGTCCACATAGAGAGAGAGAGAGAGACGGACACACAATTTACTGCACTTCTTTCAGGGTTTCTTTTCAATAAAGTGATCAAATCAAACCCTTACCTGCAAGTGTCACACTCTAACAGGAAGTTGCAGCAGTGCTGCCATCTAGTGGTGATGGCAGTGTTGTACATTTAACATTGTACAGATGACACTAACTCATCCAATCCAGTGGCCCATCTTACATATGAGTGTTCCTCTGTGCAGTTCATGCATGACTGCTGCCTGAAACTAACTTTGTGGAGTTAATTTCAAAAACAGTACTTATTGTGCAGTTCATTTAACTATTATATATGATGTTTACAGATTAATATTCCTGCTACTTTGATGTGTATGTTGCATTTTACTGCCGTGAGAACCCTGTATCTATAAAAAGTTAATTTTTCACAAGCTCAGAGGAAAATCCCTGTTTTTTCCAGCTGATCCAAAAGGGTTTAAGAGTTAATTTAGCTTAAGAAGTAGGAGAAAAAAAAATCTAAATCACAAGGATACATAGTTTTAACTGGACAAGAAGGGAATGAAAAATAGGTTATATTGGGCTATATTGTAGTATGCTACAAAATTTGCCTATGAGATTAAGTGAAGAAGAAGATATACTTTATTTATCTCCGAGAGGAAATTCATTTTTTCTACTCTGTTGTCATATACATGTGTTCAATGGAGAGATGTCAGAGTGAGGGGGCTGCCTTGGATGGATCCCCGAGCACTTGGGGGTTAGGTGCCTTGCTCAAGGGCGAACTGGCACCTCTCCAGCCACCAGTCTAGACTCCATACTGGAACTTGAACCGGTGACCCTCTTGTTCCTAAGCCAAGTCGCTATGGACTGAGCTACTGCCACCCTAAAAGTGGACAAGAAGTATAAAAAATAAAGTGGAAGTACTCACGTAAAGTACAAGTACCTTGAATTTGTACTGAAGTACTTGAGTATGTGGACTTACTTAAATTCCACCACTGCTTACAAGTTGAAAAAGTGAGGCATGAAGAAAACCAAGAGGAGTATACACATTAAAAACAGCAGAGACATGGTATGTAAATCTACCATTATATGAATAGAATTAATTGGCTGTGGCATAAGATGACAAACAAAAAGCAGAAAGGGATGCTAATCACAGACGACCTGTTGCACGTCATTGTATGCCTTTTTGGGTGTATAAAAAACATTGACATGTCAGTTACAACAGCATAACAGAATAATAACATCATTGAAAAATAATAAAAGATAATGAAACAAAAATTGCTTGGGTAAGTGCACATTTTACAGCTTTATGTGGGATATTTACTTCTGCATCGAATCGACGCCATACCTATGCCACTGGCTCTGCGTCAACATAGAGCCTACACTGTACCCTACACCGGTACTGGTGAATTTTGTAACGTTACCTTTGTTAAACGTTGATGTTGTCCCTGGCTTCAATGAGTAGAGGAAAAGTCCGCTAGCCGCTATGCTTATTTATACAATGTAAAATACCATAGGCTTGTGCTAATAACATTAGCATGTTGTATTTGTGGGGAAAATGTGTCCGGATAAAGACAAGTGCTTTGTCTGTGAATGCTGCGAGTTATAGTGAAGCTGATTTGTGTACTTGTGTTTGAGATTGTAATAATGTGTGTTTAATGTGTGTTTTGAATCAATTCATTATCCATTGATTGTTATTCCAGTCCAGTGTCGCCTTTCTGAATCTTGTATAGCCATTGTCTTTGTAGTTGTGCTTCTTGTAGTCTCAGTGTGTGTCGGTTTCTCCATTAAAGAGATTTTTTCCATAATTGTAAGCCATTGGGCCTTCGTTGGTGGTGTTTCTTTACCCCAGTTCCTAGTGATAGCGTTCTTGCTTGCTACTAGCAATATTTTGATCAAATGTCTATCACTAGCAATATCATGTTCTTCAGAGTATTTACATAGATAAAGCACCAAACAACTCCTAGGAACCTCATACTCTATCTCTTTACATACCATTTCCCAAAATACAGTTATTTTCTGACACTTCCAAAACTCTTGCCAACTTTTACAGCCAGTTTAAACAAACGTCACCTCCTTATCCCTTCAACTTTTGTAATATGACTCCAGAAATCCGTCTTTAATCCTATAAAACTTCCTGGATTGAGTGGTCAGCGCAGCACTATTTGTAAGGAAGTGGGTCAGGAAATTAGAGTCAAGAAAACGTAGATAGGTCCCCAACTTGCTGCTGGCAGCAGGCCATGTTCGCTGAGCTCCTCCAAAAATGGTCTGAATAATATGTAGGTTAGTGGGTTGCAACACTGCCCCGAAAAACAGACTTGTGCACGCTCGGAAGATTCATGTTTGAGGAAAATAAAGTGGGTCGCCAGAGATACACAGGAGCATCTTTATTAGGTATAAATAGGTTCATCCTGGGGTTTGGGATTAGCTCCTGCAGCCTGGGGGAAGCAGAGATGCCTTCAGAGAGAGGCAGCCTGTGTGCATCAGCTGGTATCATTTGGCAGAGGAAGACAAAGACTCAGGAGGAGCTTTATCTCTGGGAGTGTAAACAGGACTGGGCTCTGCCTGCGACACTGGCATTTCCTGTCTGAAAGTCTGAAACACAGAAAGACAGATTCACATGCGTCAAAGGAATGGAAAATTTTACATTGCATTAAAAAAGAAACAAGAAAAGCCAACATATTTCCATCAAATAGTTAAAATGATATAATGACGGGGGCGCTATAGCAACCGATTGAAA